CCTAAGGCCCTAAGGCAGGCTAGCCTGAGGCTCAGTATCAGCCACGTCATCATGCCAGGGATCGTACTCAGGCCGATAAGGCTGAGGCGGCTGAGAAGGCTGAGGCGCCTGTGCAGGTGCTGGGGGCCCCCTCACAATGAAAGTGTAATTAATTACTTAGGGTGTCGAGAATTAACTACTTTAGTGCACTCAGACTCTTTCCCTAATTAATTGATTAATTAATTTATTCATTAATTATTTAATAGTAATTAAGTATTCAGCCCTAAGGGCCTGACGAAGCCATGGGTCATTGCCCAGCGGAGGAGTCCACGATCCTGAGGCCTGAGGGACTTTCTCTTGCCGAGAATAAGCAGGCGGAAAACTCGATTGCTGAGGAGGCTGCTGAGGAGGCTGAGGATAAGCTGCCGGCGGCAGCGGCTGAGGCTGTGTCTGAGGACCAGCAGGCGAGAACCTCGCCGCCCTAGGGTTGGCCCGAGAAGCCTGAGGAGCACCCCGCCGATCGTGCTGCTGAGGCCGAGAGTAGCTCATGATGCCTGCCTAAGGAAACAAAGTGCTGTCTAAGGAGGCTTCGGGCCTTAGTTCGCTGCACACACACACAAGCGATCCTCAAGGCTTGCGAGCACTCAGGAAGGACATGGCTGCACTCGAACTGAGAGAAACACACCTAATTGCACTTTCTCACCCCTCAAAACTGTGCTCGAAATTCCTCAGGCTGTTGCTGAGGACACTAGATAAGATTCATCTCAGTGCTCAGACCTGAGGGCTCAGAGGTGCTTGAGCCTCTTGATGGGCCGGCTGAGCTCCTCCTCAATCGCAAGCTCTGAGGGCAGTTGTGAGTCTTCCTCTGAGGGCTTCAGGGCAGGATGTTCGTCGAAGGAGCAAGAAGCCTTAGGCTTTTCGGGCTCCGGGCACTCAGGATTCTCACTCACTTGATAAGGGCACTGAGGGCTGAGGATATGCCACGACTCAGTAACCTCTGCTAACTTGCAATCGCACTCAGGATCTTCACAGTGGAGGTAGTGGATGGGGTCACTGAGGGCGGCCTTCTTAACCATTTCCTCAGTCACGAGGCCCAGGTACTCTGTCTGAGGACTCAGAATGCTCCTCCTCCTCCTCCTCAAAGTCCGTGACAGCCCCCTCAGCTTCCTTCTCAGGGACAGGTGCATTCTTCGTCGGAGGAACAGGTAGCACCTCAGGCGGGGAAGCTGCTGTGGGGTCCGACACCGTCTTCCTGCATCGCCGCTTCTTAGGAGTCTCAAGAACAGGAGCAGGCACATCCTCAGACCAGGAGGCTGAGACAGGAAGCTCAGGCAACTCGGGTTCAGCGATGATCCTCAGGTTGTACCGCAGGTGGCAGTTCCAAGGGAGCTTCCCGACTAAGCCGAGCACCTCAGAGTGGTACCTCCAGAGGTGCCTGACCTTCCAAGGCTTCTTACAGCTCAGGCACCGGCTCTGCCAAGGCAGCCGGCCTAGCTTAAGGCGAGCCCCACACTCGCAGCCGATCTCAGGCTCTGTGTCTGAGGCCCTTTCAAAGCGAAGAGGTTGCTCAGGCGTGATAAAAGGGATGCTGAAGAGCCGCTGGGGAGTGCAGTTCTGCATGGCTCAGGCTGCTCAGGGAAGACCTAATCCTACAACTCCTGAGGCCAAACGATCTCGGAAGCAACTCATGCTGTGCTCAAGCCACAAGTGCACTCAGAAAACTCTCAGAAAGGTCTCAAACGAGGCTCTAAGTGCAGGCGAGTGGCTGCTGAGGGACACGGCACTGAGGGCCAGGAAGCTCAGGATGACGGCGAACTTCACGGCTCGGGTCATCCTGGGCTCAGGCTTACCTAACTTTCTATCTAAGTACTTATCTACTCAGCCTCAGTATAGATTGCAGCTTAGAGTCGCTCAGGACAGGTCGAAGGCGAAGATCCTGGGCTCAGGCTTACCTAATTTTCTACCTAGGTACTTATCTACTCAGCCTCAGTATAGATTGCAGCTTAGAGTCGCTCAGGACAGGTCGAAGGCGAAGTCTTAGGGCACCAAATGCTGAGGCCGAATGCCTAAGGCTATGATTCTCGGATTTCGGCTGCTAGTTTGTGCTAAAGACTCAGGAAATTGCTTTATTTACTACTAATAGTTTAATGCCTATCTACTGAATAAACCTAATTCTGGCGCTTTTTTCTCTAAGTTTACTAACAAAATAAATAGGCCTAAGGCTCGGTGGTACAGAACCTTCGTAAACCTCTGTAATTAGTTAATTACTTAATGAACTAGCTAACTGATTGACTAATTGCTTAATTAAGGACCGGAACCTACCGAACCCTCGTAAATATCCTCTTAATTAATTAAGTAATTACACCCTAATTAATACATTAGTAATTAATTACTTAACCCCCCCAAACCCTTCTAATTAAGCCCCACAAACCCCACATCAACCGAAGCCCCCAAGAAACCCTCCTAATTATTTAATTAAAACCAAAGCAAACCACCCCAAAGCTCCCGAAACCTACAGAACCCTCTTAAGCCCGAGTACTTAATTAATTAGTTAAGCACCAAACCCTACAAAACCCCCCAAACCCTTCTAATTGCTTAGGCGCCCAAACCCCGAGACTCCCGATTCCCTCTAATTGTTTAATTAATTGTCTTAATTAATTAATCAAAACCACCCAGACCCTGAGCCCCACTCAGACTCCTGACCCCTGTCCGGGGCTACCGGTTCCAAATTAAAGAGACCAAAACTTTTTGGTCGGGGGGGGGGGTACCCTACCCCTAAACCGACCGCCACATTAGTAGTAGTAGTAGCAGCAGCAGCAGTAGCAGTAGCAGTAGCAGTAGCAGTAGTAGTAGTAGTAGTAGTAGTAGTAGTAGTAGTAGCAGCAGTAGTAGTAGTAGCAGCAGCAGTAGTAGTAGTAGTAGCAGTACGCGCTCTGGGCGAATTTGACGCCGGGCTTTTTGCGCATTCACATGCAGAAACACGCGGCAGGGACGGCATTTCAGCATTCGCACGTTGCTCTGAGCCGAGTGCCCTGAAACGTGTTTTTTGGTTCAAGTGGAAGTCATGCCTCAAGCGAAGCATGCTTGCCGGCTGTGCGGTCAGACGGGACTTTCCTGTAAGGTTTGCGAACCACGTGCCTGCTGTGCTGCAGCTTTTGGCGAACAAACGAGAGCACCACCAAGCTTTTCCTATGCATAGATTGTCAGAGGCCCCCCCATGGATCCATGCTAATGCCCAACACATTCGTTATGCAGCTGGACGTGGCAGACGATGGCGAAGTTTTCCAGAGCTTGGACTGGCCCGGAAACTGGTAAGTCGCCGGGGAGCGGAGACAGGTTGCTGCTGAAACACAAGGAGAGCAATGCTGATGAGTACAATGATGATATTGTGCATCACTGTGATGATGATGTTGATGATGATGATGATGAATATGATGATTTTGAGTGTTACTGTTGTTATGATGATGACGAGGATGATGATATTGTGTATCACTGTGATGATGATGGTGATGAGTATGATGATCTTGAGTGCTACTGTTATGCTGATGATGATGTTGATGAGTATGGTGATGTTGATGAGTATGATGATGTTGTTGTTGAACATGCTCGCGATTAGCCCCCCCCCCCCCCACACCCCCCACCCCAGGTCAATGATGATGTTGATGAGTATGATGATGTTGTTGAAAATGCCCGCGTAACCCCCCACCCACCCCCCTCCGCCCCAGGTCAATGATGATGTTGATGAGTATGATGATGTTGATGAGTATGATGATGTAAGACAGGTGTTATGACTGTATCTTAGGTCGTTAAGGCGCTCGGGTCTGCATGGTCCTTGTTTAGAGAGATAAAGACGTACAAAACACGGAATTACTGTAAATAGCAACACATCCAGGCCCTCTCGCAAAGTCGTGGAAGTCCTAAAAGCAGGAAAAACATGGCGTCAACTAAGGCCTGATGCCCTAGTAGTAGTAGTAGTAGTAGTAGTAGTAGTAGTAGTAGTAGTAGTAGTAGTAGTAGTAGTAGTAGTAGTCGTAGTCGTAGTCGTAGTAGTAGTAGTAGAAGTAGCAGTAGTAGTAATAGTAGCAGTAGCAGTAGCAGTAGTAGTAGTAGTAGTAGTAGTAGTAGTAGTAGTAGTAGTAGTGGTGGTAGTAGTAGTAGTAGCAGTAGTCGTAGTAGTAGTAAGTTGTCGTCGTCGTAGTAGTAGTGGGACGTAGTAGTAGTAGTAGTAGTAGTAGTAGTAGTAGTAGTAGTAGTAGTAGTAGTAGTAGTAGTAGTAGTAGTAGTAGTAGTAGTAGTAGTAGTATTAGCAGTAGCAGTAGCAGTAGCAGTAGACGTAGTAGTAGGACGTAGTAGTAGTAGTAGTAGTAGTAGTAGTAGTAGTAGTAGTAGTAGTAGGACGTAGTAGGAGTAGTAGTTGTGGTTGCGGCTGCTGCTTCTAGTTGCCGTTGTTGTGGTGCTGCTTGCTATCGTGTTCGGCTATATAGCCTTCTGTGCGGACTTCCACACGCCCCTGGACAAAGATGAAACAAATGGTTTTCAGGGCAATCAATGCTGATGTCCCGACATGTGCAAGGCGGACCTGTAACGTACATATTGCTGCCAGTGCCATGGACCTGAGGCGCGAAGTGAGCAAATGTGGCGAAGGGAACTTCAGGACAACTTGTTTAAGTGCTACGCTGCTACACGTCACAGATTCGACACTTTTGGCTTCTGGCGGCCATGGCTCCTTTGTATCCTCCCCCCTTGTCCCTCCTAAAACGGTCTGGTGACGTTTCAGCCACGTGGCCTCCAAAATCAGGTGCATGATGCTCGACACGCAAAGATTTCACACAAGCAGTAAGGAGAATCGCCCTGATTGATTGGGTCGAGTCGGGAGCATATCTTGAAGGTGAAACATTGCGGAAGCCTGAGCTGCCAATATCATCACACAGGATTGCCGCTGCAAGTTGCAGAGCCCCTGCAGAGATGCTTTTCAGCCACTCTCAGCTTGTCAGAATGCAGAATTCACGTTGATGGCTGCTTCAGGAGGTGTCTCCGAACTGGATCTGCACGGTCCCGTCCGGCCCTGGGGTCATGTATGCTGTCACCTCCGCCTCAGCCTCAACTGAGGACCTGGTCAGCTCAGCCGCCTAGTTCTGCTAAGTTCTTAGCTCCCTATAGGCCCTAGGCCTGGCTAGCCCTGGCCCGGCCTGGCAGGATGCAAAGGGAGCGATCGACAGGACCCCGAAGCGGAAACCTCCATCCACTTCTGGGTGGGAGCATAGAAGCCTGGTTGACGTTGAAAGCAAAAACCTCACGACCGGTCTGGGACGGTCGGGTGCTATGAGCTACCAGTGGGATCTAATCCATGGCACTGTGTCACTAAGCACATCCGGGCGCCGAACCATGTCACCACCCACTTCAGCACCAATCCACCAACCATCACCTCAGCTCAGGTCCGGATGTGATAAGGCAGGCTCGAGATCAACACCGAAGGGGTGTCCGCCCAGTGGCAATCAGCGCCGTCCTTGGCTGCAGAATGCTGCAGACCCCTACTCTCCCATGGTCCTCCTAGCGATGCATAGGCGGCCAAGTTTCTTTCTCGTCCCAGTAGTAGATGGCAACGCTCTCACCTTCACAGTTACAAGCGCGGCATCGGTTTCTCACCTCTGCCTCGCCTCCCTGCGCGGCCTTGCCCCAATGACTTCCGGAAAACCGGCCGGCCGTGGTTCCTCCCTTTCTCCTTGCGAAGGCGTTCGCATCTGCAGTCAGCTTCCGTCTGCTCCAAGTTCCTCGTAGCTGCCCTCCAGGATACGTTTTACCAAGTTGGTCTGGGTCTGCTGCTCCTGCTCGAAAGCAGGCAGATGCGCCATGTAACGTCCGGGTTTGGATGCCTTCTTCTCCTTCTTCTCCTTCTCCGCCTGCCTCCTTCTGAACATCTCCTAAGTCGCATCAGCATGGTCACCGCTGCACGATGGAACCTGCATGAACTGCCTCCCAGTCATCCAGCTCGGGTCCGGCGTCCACAGCATCCTGTATGCAGATACGCAGGTCTTCGAAACACTTTACTGAAACAAACGGTGAGCAACGGACTTGCACTTTTGTTTTCCGTGCTCTACTTCTTTGTCGCGCGAGGTGAAAACTCCAAGGGATGTTAGAGCTCGCGGAGCCCACATGCATGAGACAGGTGAAACATGATCCCTTTCAGGACCTAGAACCTAGGCGGCGGAAGGTTCCTCCTCGACGTCCTCCTCAGGTGGCTCCAAGACTTTCTGGATCTCGGCCACAACCTGAAATCCAACTACTCAAGACAACAGTGTGTTAGGGTGTGCAACCGGGGTTCCCGCCTCCGGGTGTCCGTAGAGCTTGCCGAAGAGTAGGCAATGCTTCATCTCTCTCAGATCCAAATTCGGCAGCTCAGCCAGCAGGGTTTTGAGACAGCCCACATGGCCCCAGCGGCTTGCCTCCGCTTCTTGTGATCACAAGCAACAAGAGTGAAGCGCAGCACCCTCCCGCCCTGTCCATGCCTTCTTCAGCGCACTCATGGAATTCTTGTCTTGGCAATTTGCGTCCGCTCCCGCGTCCAGCAGAAGCCTTACCAGGTCCTGATGGCCCATGGCTGCCGCCATCATAAGCGGAGTCTCACCGTCCTCGTTGCAAGCGTTCGCATCTGCCTTTTTCTCGAGGAGTGACCGGCACACGTTGCCGTGGCCTTTGATCGCGGCAAGCATGATGGCCTGGAAGCCTTGCGGATCTTTATCGCTGACTCCTTTGCCTCCTTTTGTAAACTTTTGCACGAGCTCCTCGTGACCCCCATTCGATGCGAGCATAAGGACAGTCCAGTTGGAGCCATCGGGCATCTTGTAATTAGGATTGGACCCGTTCTCCAACATCTCCTCGGGTTTGAAAGGCCAAGGGAGCAGAAAGAAGGAACCCAAAACGGCGTACTTTCAAATCTCGGCAGGTGACGTTGACCTCCTCCAGATCGCCTTTGTCTACGGCACCTCGGAAGGCCACGGCCTGCCACATCTTCGCTTCCTCCTGCAGCACATGCACGTCTATGCCGAGAGAACGAAGCCTTCGGGCACCTTATGGCGAGAACAGCACTGCTTGGAGTCTACGCCGATAAAGTCTAAGGGTGGCGGGTTTGGGTCGTTTTCATGGCATATCGCATCAAGCCCAGTGGATTCAAAACCATGCCTTGCGCTGGCGTCTCATTCCAAGTTGACTACGTGCAGTGTGATAAGCATGTTTGTGATGCGGAGGATTCCAAGGTGTGGCCAGGTCCAACACTAAAAAGTCAATGGGTGCGGATCCAGCTTTCGACATTCCTTCGGAAAGATTCCGCATGAGGTTCTCCACCAGATATGGCAAATGGCTCACGATGTCACGAGCAACGGCAAAAAATCTGTGCGATCCAAACAGCCCTCCAGGAGAGCTCTCGAGCTCCTGACGACGGGAAGCCCGAAGTCGAACTGCACTCGCCAGACTTCCAGACTCCACATGACTCCACCACCCCTGCTGCCCCAAGCTCCACTTGCATTTGGCGTTTGTCGCTTGACACGCTTACTTTAGCGAGTGGTCGGCTCACGAAGAGGTGCAAGCGAGCGCACGAAACTCAAAATGCCCGTACGCTGAAACCCTTGTTCAGCCATGGACGGTGCCTCGTCCACTGGCGCCATGTTGGCACCGATTGGCGCTGTGCCTAAGCCTCTCCAATAACTTGAGCCACCAGGGAACAAATTTAGAGGTTTCGGTGATGCCAAGAGCTTTTGACGCAAGGCACACTCCGGGCAGCGATGCGCACCAGGTGCCTGGAAGAGGTCCTCTAGATCAATGCCTGGAAGCCTGACCTTCTCCAGTCATGCAGTGCTAGCGCTTTCACCGAACTGCGCACTCGTGTTCCTCGCTGACGTCCGGAGCACGCTGCCGAGCCCAACGACGCCTCCCAAAGAAGCTCGCAACACCGCGCCGACACACCTGTAATGACGACGGCTTCCCACCAGTCAGGCGAGGACAGCTCCCTGTATGCCTCGGTGTCGGGCGACAACACCCTCGTGGGAATGTAAGGTCTTGGCAGCGCGCCCAGAGCAGCTTGCGAAATGAAGCAGCATCACCGGTCCCTGTGACAGGAGAAATCAAGGATACGCAAAGCATACCGAACGAGCACCCAATGTTGTCAAATTCATCACAAGAAATGCTCGCTCTTCCACTTTGACAGTGCCCTTGACGCACGACTTTCCGACCTGGGACGTCGTCCAAGGGTGAAACTTGTCAATCGCACTTGCAGAGAAGGATTGATGTAGGTTTATAGCATAGTCAAGTCATGAATGTGAATATACTCAGTTAACCCTCTGCACACCTACGGCAGCAGACTTCCCAAGCTGCCCAAGTACTTGCAGCTGCGCTCCATGGACAGCCTCGACGTCCAGGCCGGGCCTGACTACCCAGACTCCTCACGAGACTTTCTTGTCAGAGCCGCCTTCTCGGATTGCACGAGTTGTCTTCTCAGACTCCTGGTTCCTTGTCAGAACCGTCTTCTCAGATTTCCGATCAAAAAGTTGTCTGCTCAGATCGCCGGCGTGTTCTCTCCTCTCACCAGACCTGTCTTCTCAGATCCCAGTCTTCTTAGATTCGTCTGCTGCTTCTTGTCACTCCCCGGGAGGAATCTCTTCAGAGTCTCCTCAGATTCCCCTCAAAACTCCAGGAACTGCCCTGCCACTGCCCAGAGAACCCTCTCCGTTCTGCTGAGACTTGGGGCACCCTGTGGCTGTTCAGATCTTCTCAGAGTTCCCCTGTCTAATGTCTGGTTTTCTGCTCATAGCCCTCTCCTGTCTGCTCAGATTTCTGGCTGTGCTTCCGGGCATTCGGCGCGTCTTCTCGTATCCTCCTTCCCGTGCTTCTCCGCGCGTTCGGCGCGTCTTCTCAGATTTTGTTGTGTTCTCCTGCTCCCCTGCCAAGTACCGGGCGACGACCTCTCGTCTGCGATGCAGAAGTTGCGCGAGGCAGAAAAAACATGGACGGTCCCAGATCTGCAAGGCGTGAACACCTTGCAAGACCTGCGCTTTCGTAAGGGATCCACACTCTCCTTGCTACGCAAGGACGGGACGCTGCGGTTGCTGGCGGGATCTGAGATCTGTCACACATGTGCTCAATTCTTCGACGAGCCTTGGCTTTGTACATGTGGTCTTTATCATTGACCACACAAATGCTCGGGTCTTTTGCAAGCTGGGCAAAACATCCTTGACAATCCAGCCATGGTGTGCCGGCTCTGCTTCAATCAGCCTCCTGGGCGGGCACCGGAAGCAAAACTTGGCAGCCGACAGCTCGCTGCGCTTGGACCACATATGTATTTGTCGTTATTCATATCACGCTTGGCAGTGTGAACAAGCAGCCCATGGACAGTTGCACAGGTTCTGGCCAGAGCTCTTCATTAGAGATGACGTCTGGCGAGCACGGGTTGTCAAGCCGAGCCATGCTGACGGTGAGCGACGCCGAGCTTCCTTTGTCTTCCCTATCTACTGCCTTGCCTACAGACATCCGGAAAGAGGTGCTGGAGCATCTCAACCTGCAAGATCTCATGGAGGATGATGCTGCGCCGCAGGCAGCTCAGGAGGCTGCGCCCAGAACCTCACCTAAGAGGGCGCCGCCGGCATCGCAGGAGGCTCCGCCTATGCCCTCACAGAAGAAGATGCGGCGGCCTGCTGCCGCCACTGGACGCTGAGGCTCAGTGGATTATCTCTTGCTGCTCGTGTTGTGCTCGCGCTTCCCCTTTCGGTCCTGTGGCTTCGGGAATCGTCGTTGGCCACGACCCGTTCACGGGCACGGTCTTGTGACAATTCCGGCCGCCTGCTTGCAAGCTGCTCATGTTGCTCTCCTCACTCTCCTCACTCCTCACCCTCCGGAGTCTCCTCACTCTCCTCAGCTGGTGCTAAGGTATTGCAAGTGGACCACGACCCATTGATGGGCACGGTCTTCTGAAAGCTTGGGCCCTTTTCATCGACGCCGGTCGTCGCAGAGCACACGCGGCTTGAAGCGCATCACGGTCATCTCTTCCTCTTCTCCGTCCCCTTCTTCCTTGATCTCCACAGCTGCTGGCGGTCCTGTGTGAGCCGTCGCCGTCACTCTCTGAAGCAGTGTGGCATTCTGGCTCTTCAGAAGCTCATTCTCGGCCTCTGCTTTTGCTAGCCGTATGGCCATGGCTAGCTCCTTCTCGTGCCTCTTCTCAGCTTCGGCTTTATCCTTCTAGTGCTTCTTCTCTTGTCGCTCCAGCTCCCGTCCGTGAGCTGCAGCCAGCTGCTGGGCTACGATTCCCGCAGCTAAGTTGCAGGCTGCGGCGGCCAAAGGTCCCATTTGCTGCTCCTCTTCACACTCGGTGCCACTGGCATTGGAGCTTGGACCACTTGCAGAAGAGACTCAGCCTCCTGCGATGCTGCCTCAGGAGCAGCATCTTCAACTGCCTCAGGACCTGGCACATGAGCTTCCGCCTCCTGCTTCACTGTAGCCGTTGCAGTCCTAGGCTCTGCTCTGTTTGCTTGCTCGGTTTCCTGAGACTCACTCTATAACATATGTCTGTCTTCATTCCGCGTACAGAGGTCGCGTTGAGCACGTGACCCCATGTAACGCATCATGTGCGCAGCCATTTATGTGGCCAATCCGTAAATGAGTTCTGTGTGAACGAGAAAGCTCGGATTCGTTGATGGCCACGTGGATGTAAAAGCTGCGTGTTGTGATCGGCTTGAGTACCTTATCAAAAGTAGTGGGGTGACAGGATATGGCACGTCGGCGACATCTCCGCCTGCAGACTGCGAAGTCATATGGTCGTCTATCTGCTGCGTCGTCATAGCTCTTCCTGCTACGTCTTCCTCTTCCGACTCTCGAGATGCCGAGTCTCCTTCGAGAGCACCTGGACGTGCCAGTGCAGGCCGCTCCTTAGGCCCAACTCCATGAGCTGCCCCTGCTTCTCTTCCTGGGTGGCTTCCCCAGCATCCCTGACCATGTCGCTGCCTTGGGCAGCAAGCCGCGACCGTTCCTCCATGAGGATGGATATGAAGATAAACTACAGTCCTCCGGTAATCACAATGGACTGCAGATGTTTTGAAACATGAGCGAACGCAAAGAGCGGTTCCGGGACACCAGCTGGTACTGATCAGCACGGCACACCTGTTGTCATTAACCCTAAACCCTGCCAGGCCTGGGACGTCGGGATGAAGGACGGCGGCCAACTTCCGGAAGGCGGGGCGAACCGAAGCCTCAATGCGATAGCTCTTTGCTCTTTCACCGCAGCTGCTCAGCGTGATTTTTTGAGCTGACTTGGACTGGACTCGGATTGAAACAGTTCTGGAGCTTTCCCACCTGCTCCGAACTTCGGGACAATCGTAGGATGTCGAAAGGATTCTCTTTCGTCTTCTCTGTGAGTCCAAGCAGCCTCTGCTCATGTCCACATTGCGCATGTGACAATGGGCAAGGCAAATAAAATTGGGCACTCGCCGATGCTCAACTGCCGCTGGACTCTGGCATGTTCAGCATCATGCGCAGGAATTGTTGCCGAGCTGCTCGTCTGCATCTTCATCCCAATTTCGCCGTGCAGTCCGTCGGATTCGTGCCCGGACACCTGGTGCACCAACCCTGCTAGTGCACCAGCAAAGCTGTGAGGTGCCATGGTAGATTTGGAGTGATTTTTGGAAGCTCATGGTCGCGTGTGCGTTCTGCGGGTTCTTGCTACGTCATGGCGAACGCTTGAAGGTGTTGTGGATTCTATTCAATTCTATTCGGCAAGAGCTCGCTCGGCTACTGCTGTGAGCAGTAAACTGACTCTGTAGCCAATTGGGGAGCAGTCCCATATGGTTGGCTCTGCGAGTGATTGCAAGCGCATGGCAACAAATTCGGTGCAATCGCATTCGATTCGATTTGCGTTTCGGAAAGACGGACAAGTTGAGAGACAACACAAACCACGATTCACACCTCGAGTTGTGTTCGGCATCCGCCAAGAAAGCTCGGGCAGGTGTCGTGAAAGTTGCACAGAGGGTGTTGCAAGGCTCCTCCTAGAATGAAGCCACGCCTCTGCACCCGGCAAACAAGGGTCTGTCCAGGTATCCTCATTCTCGCTATCTGTCTTGCTGATGCTCCTTCTTCTTTCGTCTCCTCTTCCTCATGATCCCTCTTTCCGCGTGGGAAGATGTCACGAGTGGCCGGGGAAAGACTCCGTGAGCAGACGCTGGATCCTGGCGGCAATCCAGGCTTTTAGGGGTTCCACCTTCCCGAGCCGCTGCACTTCCATCCTCACGGGTTTGTTTCATCGAACTTGTTGGGAGAGTTCCGCTACACAACAGGCTTCGGCCTTCCCCCGCGTCTGATCATGCTGCGTGGAAACCATGGGGCAAGGAGCTGGAGCCGCAAGGACTGTGTACTTCAATGGCAAAGGGCAGCACGAGAGCGGCCTGGTCTCAAACCAGAAAATCCTGAGCACATTCACAAGATCTCACGAACACAGTGCAAGCCCCACACATGAGTCAGTTTTAATCAAGCCTGCAGGGTCGGACGACAAAACATAGATCCGGCAAACGAAAGCCAGAAGCACGGCATTGCGCATCGTCAGTGGCCCATACTCAGGCTAGATGCATCCTTCTGTCTGGTCACACATATACACACTTGTTTCAGGCTGCAGTCGCAAGCCTTCTCCCGTGGCACGTTTCTCCTGCTTGTATCAAGTTCTGCAGTCAAGCAGAAGATTGCCGGGGCAACAGTGAACATGGGATGTCTGAAACAAACATCTCTGCTGGGCAAGGCTGCGGCAGATAAGAACACGGGACTGCAGCTCGGTGGTCGCTTGCCATGCTCGCCATGCGCGTTGCCGTCTGGCTTTTGCAGCATGCGCAGAACGTGCACGAATTTTGCTCTACATGCATTGTAAATCCATCATGCTCCGCGACAAACAAGCGGAATCATGAGGAGTGGATTCAGCGCTGCCGGCCCGAGGTCTTTCAGGTGCACCCACATTAGCAATGCAAACTGGACAGTTCCAATGGCTCCAAGCACGTAGAACAAGGTCTGAATGTTGGCTACCTTCGGGCTCTCATTGCAATGCAACCCTAAGCTAAACCATGCGTTCCGATGCCAGTAATGACGCATGCAACGAGCAGGGCGCCTTCTTTTGGTTGGCCAGAGTCAAAGTGAACTGAGCAACATTGTTGACGGCGAGCGAGACCAACTGTGAGTCAAGGAAGAGAGCTTGCGCTGCAGCACACCTGCCATCGGGAAAGTGTCCGGCAAAGCGGAAAATCTACCGGTATGCGTTGCATGAGGCCACGGCTGCATGTTCATTCAACTGCTAGTGGCAACGCGGTACTTCCACGAAAGGCGCGTGACGTCTTGCTGTGCTGCAGACTGGTGTAGCTGAAGAAAACCCGTCTGCTCGGAACGGGTGAGCCAGCCCGACCGTCGTGACTAAGAGTAGGACGGTACACGACGCTCGCCCCGACTGCTGGATGCCTGCTAACCAGGTTGAAGTTCAGCTCCACAAAGTTCACCTCGATTAGAAACAGCTTCGGAACAGGCGAGAGAGACGCTCAAGTGGACGTGGTAGATTCGATGTTGGTTGCACAGTGGCGCCAGCGGACTTCTGTAGGAATGTGAGCTGCGGAGGCAAACTTTCCTTGTGCCGAAGATGCATGACTCATACTTGGAATTACGAGGATCCGACGCCTCCAACGTAAGGGTTCAAAATGTAGCGAACTCAGCCATGTCAACGAAATCGGCTCAGCTGCAACACATCAGCCAACGGAAAGAGAAGCAGGGCAGGTTCGTGTGAGATGCCGGTCCACAAACGGCTGCGGCTGAGCACAGCTTCTCGAGCTGAGTCACCGAGAGAAGAGAGAGAGAGAGAGAGAGAGAGAGAGAGAGAGAGAGAGAGAGAGAGAGAGAGCGGTAGGTCGGGAGCGCCACGCAGCACGGGAAACGCGGCGCGTCGGGGCTTTGAACTCTGCATTCGCTACGCCGTTTGTCTGTCCTGTGTAGTTTCGTAAGCGAGTGACAGCGCTTTCGATCTATCCAGGTTTAGGTACAGTGATCGTTGTAGGAATTGTGCTTCATTCTCGCGAGATTGCCGTTTGATATCGATGGAGTAACTTGCGATCATGAGCAGCTCAACCGACCGCACAAGGTTCACAGAAGCCCAGAAGTTCCTATGAATCTCAGGTCCGAGCAAAGGTCACCACTTCCATCACCACAACAGAGCCCATGGCAGGTGCCATCAGCGGATGGAAAATCCGCGCCACAGTCTGGTCACTGTTTGTATCGAAAGCTTCGTTCCACTTTTTGATCTGCATCAGCCACTTCGCATAGAAGTACACAGACAGGATGCCCCAAAGACGGCTAATCCAGTTGCCGAAGATCGAATAGGGAATCCAGCCCAAAAGGGGTGCCTCCAACACTTGACAGAGCGCGAAGATCTGAATGGAAATGCCAACCCAGAATTTCAAGACCACGTCTTCATTTCGGATCGTCCTGCCCCACAAGAAAGCACAGAACGGACGAGGTTTCGAAGGATTTCGTAACCCAAATCTAGCCGCTAGCCGCCCGACGGACGAGAGCAGATCCTCAGTCGCTGTATGCCGGTAACAAGTATCACAGCACTCAAGACCACGTTGAAGACCACTTCTGCATGGCTCGCTTGGCGGATACCTTTGGCCAAACGAACCTGAGAGCTCTCACAGCAGGCTATACCTCTGCACGCGGACTTCAAACGAACTACCCCTCATTGCACTGAGGAGCTGTGGTCCAGATGCTCCCTGCCAGAACAGACAGCACACCGCTGACACCATGCACGGAGAACAGGTACCTCCGTTTGCGGTTGCAAAGCCTTGTCCCAAAGCCGCGTGAAAGCAACGCATGATATGAAATATCATGAACAAACTGAAAGTCCCATGACCCTGAGGACGCCCCAAGCCGTGTGTGCAACCGGCATTGGGAGCAGCGTTGTTCAAACATGGTATAAGCGGAATCCGCTGGGGGTTCCGCGCATGTACTGCGACTTGGCCGTGCGACAGTCGAAGATGTGTAAAGTACTGGCATGGGTGCCGTCAACAAATCTACTACCTCCAACCGTCAAGGCTCCGTTCGTGTTTACAAACAGTATAGAGTCTAGAGTCTAGAGGTCACTTGGCCCACTGTTTGGGCGTCATCTTCCGGGCTTTGCCAGCACCTGCCATGGCCATGGTCGACACGGAGAGAGAAAGGCGAAAGGGACAGGACCGCCGCCGAATCTCCCAAATGCCTCTGGCGGCCCTTCTGGCGGCCCTGGCCATGGGAGGCGAAGGCGCAGGTCCTTTGCTGTGACAGGGCCAAAGTCTACGGCCTTTCTCTCGATCTCTTGGAGTCATCTCACGCCGTTACCGAGCCAGGCTTCCGCAGCTTTACTTGAAGTGCCAAGGTGCCATGAAAAACTGCGCCACGCACTGCAAAGCTCGGGATGCTCCTACGTCGAGGAGGAAGCGAGCAGTACGAGTACTCTTTTCCACGTTGAGGATTCAGCGTCTCGGGGAAAGGTTTGCTACCTCCACTCTTCTCTGCGCTCCGGTACCACTGTCGTTTGCTTTTCTTGCATACGCTCCGGTTAACCGCCGAACGACCAGAGCTGACTTGCGTGATCCGGGCTGGGTGGGTGGATTTGGTAAAGTAGCCTCGCCAGATTATTCTCTTTTCCATCGGCCTTGACAGCAAAAACTCAACCAACTGTAGTTGGAGCATCCCCACCCTAAAAGAAATCAGCTGGCTCTGCTCAGTTGGATAGCAGAAAGGATGCGCAGCATGCTTGACGGGCGGGGCTTGCAGGGATCCGAATTGTCTTCCCATGATGAGATCAAGACATCGCTCGTATGCTTTGCAATGTATGCGATGTACTCTGGGGGTTGGCATGCCGCACCCTGTGGGAACTCTGCGGATGGTGTCGCGGTAGGCACTCCAGCGATGCTCTTCGGGATACTTTAAAGCTGGCGCTGGGATGCTCTGTGGGATACTCTGAGGTTTGGGGTTCGGGCATAGGCATTTCGTGGCATGCTGCCCTCCCCCCGGGCCCTCGCCCCCCTTCCCCGAACGACAGCCACTGCAGCGGCTGAGGCGAGGTGCGGTCGCGTGGCGATATACGATCATCTTACGCTCGCCACATAATTCTTATGTAGAAGGCTGGAGTTGATGGTTTGGGAAAGGAGCAAGGTGGCGTTGACAACCAAGGAACGCGTCTAGAGGAAGATCCGGCTACATAACTCGCTAGAACTACACGAAGCTAATCCCACAGGAGATCGCATCCGTCCTAAATAGCAAGGGACTGCTGCAGAGTGCCAGCATCCAGCTCAGAACAGGCCCCACTCGTCCGGCTCGTGACGACATGCCGGAGGCGCCTGAAACGTTTGTTCTATTGAGATCGAAGAGAGTCAAAAGCCGCATGTGAGTTTCACGTGGCAAGCAGCCTGCTGAGTCAAAGCCACTTTCGCAACGTCGAGGGCATGCTGAGAGCCAATAGGACACAGCCACTCCAATCTGAGCAAACTCCACGGCGTCAGCACGGCAAGACAGGGCAAGCCAATGGTCTACCAACACCATGACACCTGCATGCGTCCCTTCATTACGATAAGTGCCGTCGGATGTCAGATCCAGATCAGTCTTGTCTGTCAATGTGTGTCATGCATGCAGAACAATCTCAAAAAGCTGGGGGGATTTGATGTACGCCGTAGGTTTTGATCCTCTGGCTTGCATGTGCTGGCACGTAGTGCGCCACCACAGCAGCGGGCCGCCGGAGCTTCATTCGTCTTTTTTGCCACGGACCTCGCTCGAGTTTGCGACCATGTTTTTGCGGTTCTTGCTTTCCGACAGCTCTGCAAACAGCTCCACAAGCACAGTCGACCACCTTGCCCTTCTTCTTCTTGCCTGTGCAGGAGTGTCAGCGGACATGCCGATCATGCGGTGCGGACAGAAACCTGCCTGTGGTTGCGGCTCTTGGCTGCCAGTTGCCTTTCATAACGGAAGAATCACAGCAAACGACCACGAAGCAGATGTGCTGAGACCTTGCCTTGCACTTCGTCTTCCTCGGATGCAGCCTGTGAGGCGGAGGTTTCCATCTTTAGCGCTGTGAAGAAGAGACCTGGCCTTGGCTTCCTTGGCCTTTTGGTGTCTGCCGTGCACCTGATATGCTTAGTCTGTGAAAGAAATCAGCCAATCAGGGTTCAGTTCACCTCTGGAACTTCGTCTTCGGAGTCACCATCACGTCTTTCAACGTCGAGCTGCGACAAGCCCCACCTGAAGTTTGCAGCTTCCACGGACAAGGCAAGACTGTGCTCAAGTCCGGCGCTCTTTCAGTCGTAGCAGCAAAGATCGCGCTCCAGCAGGTGGTAAAGGCACCTGCTTCCTGAGCAAGACTGACAGCAGCAGCCGAAGCTGCATACTCCTACTTGCCCACCTTTCAACAGACTGGTAGTCGCCAGCAGTTTTTGCTTTGCAAACTTGGCATACCTGTGCCTGGCACCGGAAGCAGCGGGAAACATGGCACATGGACTGATGAGTCGTGCTCCGTCTCCTGCAGATCCTGTGGTCCGATCTCCACTCGTAGCATCACGCCACGATGCTCCCAGTGTGAAAACCTGGGCCAGGGAGAGGTACGACAAGAGCAACTGCAATTCAGACTACAGCGGTGAGCTGTGGATGAGGCTTTTGGCCAGGGGTCAGATGACGCCTGCAGGTTGTAGACTTTTACATGAAAGATGCGTTCAGTGCAGCTATGTGCAGCTGCAAGCCTGCTGTCCAGCCACACGTCCAAGCCCTGCTGCGCAAGGCAGGCCTTGACATTCTCCGCGGCCTCGGCATTCCAAGCTACATCTCCGTTGTGAGAAATTCTGTGCCCTGTCTGCGCCGAGCCTGGAGAACGTCCAGTTTGTCGTGCCGTCCACGCCACACCACTGGGATGACAACCTCCAGCCCATGCAACTCATGAGACAGGGATGCTCTGCCTGAAGCCCCGGCTAAATCATGTTGTCGCTGCAGGTGCGTCTTCCCTGTCAGCAGCAATTGTCAAAGTGACTAGACTATGGTGACGGGAGAGTGGCATCCCAAAGCGCAATGCTAGCGCTCACATGCGCTCACCCAAAGTATCCCAAAGTCTTACCTCAAGCACGAAAGCTTGTGCAGGACTCCGTCTTCGGTCTGCCACGGATCCCTAAGTAATTTCGACATGCCTTGTGCCCAATTCGAGCTGGCTGAGCTCACGAGATCCAGACAGATCTCGCCGACTGCTTCTGCAGCGCAATAAAAGCTTGACGTTAATGAACCTTCAGGTTGAAACACTGCGCTTCCAGCATCGCCGCTTGACTCCGATTGGCAATACAACAACGCATCCTTTGGGGGAATATGGGGGACTCTCACGTGCCAAGATGTGCCAAGCCCGACATGGACCTCGTGAACAAAGCGAGCAAAAGGACAGCTACTAGGTGCATCAAGCGAAGTGCGCAACGACTGCAGCCAAAGCTTTCGTTGTGAGCCGAGATTGCACACTCCAGACTCGACGCGTGTGACCCTCCCTAAAGCATGCCAGCTTGTCGTCTTTCTGCCACATCGGCCTAAGTTGGTAAGGATGCCAGTGTCAAACACCCGTTTTCCCCGACGGGAACCAAAAGAGCTACGACGGACGAACCCTTTCTTTTTGGATGGTTTGAAGCGCATTCGCGCCGGGTCCGTCGCAATCGCCAGTACAAGGCAAGCCGGCGCCGGGGGACGCTTTTAGTTGCCCCGGCCCACTGCCCGCCAGCGAGCGACGACCCGAAGGTCTCGACAGAAATACCCAACAAGGGCGGAGAGGGTGGGAGCTGAAAATCGTCGGGGGACGTGGAGCAGAAAGCGGCTGCAGCATCCACGTCGATTCGACGGTTGTCCCTGCGCACATGAATGACATGAATGTGCTACACGACAAACGTTTTCCCCGACGGGAACCAAAAGAGCTACGACAGACGAACCCTTTCTTTTTGGATGGTTTGAAGCGCATTCGCGCCGGGTCCGTCGCAATCGCCAGTACGAGGCAAGCCGGCGCCGGGGGACGCTTTTAGCTGCCGCCCGGCGCTCCCCTCACCCACTCTGCGCCGGCTTCGCCCGCTCACACCGCCAGGTTCAGAAGTGCATCGGCGACGTCATTCACCGCGAAGTCCAGGTCGGCGGCGGCCCTGGAGAGCACCTTGAGGATGGAATCGACGGGTGTGTGGACACGCTCCCAGCCGGAGCCTTCCGCCGTGTGAAGGTCTCCCCGGGACACCGCGTCGGACACGTTGGCCTTGGAGGGTACCCGACGGAAGTCGGGGAGCCATTCCGACAGGGCCGCTGTAGACCAAAAGGCCGCCAACACGCCGTTGACGGCGGCGTCTTTCCCATACCCTTTGGTCAGCGCCCACTGGCCGGCGACGTTGTCGATAAAGGCCAGCCACCTTTGGGGCAAACGCCGGGAAAGGGTGACCAACGCCAGGACCTGGGCGATGATCTCGAAGACATAAATGAAGGCACGGCGGGAGGCGAAGAGTTCCAGGAACTTCGCCGGCACGACGCCGCAATCATAGAACACGTGGGCGCCGATGCGTACGACGAAGCCCCAGCCATTCCGGCCACGGGTCCCCAGCCGGACGCCGACCTCTGCTGGTATGTGTCCAGCTTTGTGCTTCACCTCGCCGGGCTGGTACTAGTAGAAGGCGTCGGCGATGATCGCCGCCGGGGCGCCGTCGTCAATGATGGGCACCCTCCTCGGGCGGATGTCCGCCAGCAGGGCCCGCAGCGAGGTCAGGGCCGCCCGGAGCCCCACCGACAGCGTCGTGGCCGACGTGGCCGCCGCGTCGTGTGCCCTCGAATATATTCGGGCTGGAGGGCCGCTTTCCAGTGCGCCGAAGGTCGACTGGGTGATGAAATTGAGCCTGCCGGCCAGGCGGTTGGCCACGTCCGGCGTAAGCTCATCGTTGGCCGCGTCGATCGACGCCAAGACCTTCTTGACGCGCCGCTCCGTCGGCTGGAGCACCACCGCGTCGGGCTCGACGGAGACGAGGACCAGGTCGATGCCGAAAGTCATCGACGAAGTGGCCGGCCAGGATCCACTGGGGCCGACGACCCGGCCCAGGCGGGCCTCCTCCACGAGCTCGGCGAGGAGCGTGTCGGTGTCTCCCCGGCTGCCGTAGTGGCCCACCGTTTGACGTACTCCCAGTTCGCTGCCGCAAACCTCTCGACCGGCGAGTACTTCTCGTCGGTCCTCCTCCACCCCGGGCCTCGGCGGAGCTCGCCGAGCATGTCGAATCCCTCAGTCAGGTCCTCCTGCACGCCGGGCACGTCGGGGAAGTCGACGAGCCGGAGAAATTGCATGATGACGTCCTCCATGTCCTCGACGAGCCGGGCGACGTCCTTCACCGAATTCGGCAAAGGTCGTGGCGCCACGACCGCCACAGGAGCAGGACCGCTCGAGGTCGGGCCGCCGGGTCACTGTGCAATGGCACAACCGACATCTGCCAGTGCAGGTCCGGGTCGTCAATGAGATCGAGGTCTGGCCAGGACCAGTGAGACCAGGACGACCGCCGTGGTGGGAAGGACCGCCGGGACGAGGGCCGCCGAGAGGAGCCCAGTACATAGTAAGCTGCGGCGGCCGACGCCGGCACCATGGCGGCAGAAGACCCGTCGGCGGTGGCCCGCTCGATGTCCTCGAGGTGCTCGATGTTGGCGACGGTGAGCGGCCGGAGAGATTCCGGGAGCTCCACGTCGGATCTGGCACCAACCCGGTTCACGACGTCGACGTGGTCGCGCCATGCTTGCGAGCACAACATCCGACGGATCTGGACGACGCGCCGGTATTCCCGCTTGTGCCGGTCCAACTCGGCGGGAGAGGCGCCCGTCCCCGGCCGCCGGGGAAGCAGTGGGAAGCCGCCCCCCTCACCGGATCTGCGTCGGGATGCATCTCTTGCGGCGTTGGTGCAGGTGCCCTGCGAGATGCTCCCGACGGAACCGACGAAGGTGGCGACGGTGCCGGCGCAGCCGGCATGGCCTTCACCTGGGGCTCGACGGTGCGCTGCTGCCGCGACTCCTCCGCGAACTGCCGACGGAGCTCCTCGGCGATGCGGGCCTGGTAGTCGACGGGCTGCACCGACGGGGCAGACGACACCGGCGGTGCTGACGGCGGGGCCGCCGGGACCACAGTCGACGGAGTGATGCGGTCCGGCAGCACGGCAGCACCGTCGAATAGCGCCGGTAGTAGGCGTCGGCCGTCGGGAAGTTGTGCTTGTAGGCCAACTCCGCGTCGGTGCGACAGAGGAACCCCAGCTGGTCCCACATCTGCGGCGGACCGCCCTTCGGCACCGACGGAGCCGGTCGGTCGGGCTTCTTTGGATACCCTCCCGACGGCATTCCCGCCGGGGGCAGGTCTGCCGGAGACGACGCAACGCTGGCACCCCTGTGTGCGCCGAGGGAGGCGCTTGCTGTCGTTCGACAGGGGGCTCCGGGTGCGGGTCCGACGGCTCCCACTCCACTTGAGCTCGACGGTGTCACTCTCGACGAGTCGCCGTAGACGACGGGGCCAGGGGCCGCGCCGGGGCTGTTGATGGCCTCGACGAGCGCACGCCTCTCCAACCCACTCCATTCGGCGAAGAGTTGGGAGAGGTCGTCGCCGGAGGCAACAGCCCGGCGGACCATATCCAAGGCGGCCACGACGTCGGCAGACTGGTATAGGCCATGGCGACGAGAGGATCTACCGGAAAGCTGAAAATCGTCGGGGGACGTGGAGCAGAAAGCGACTGCAGCATCCACGTCGATTCGACGGTTGTCCCTGCGCACATGAATGTGCTACACCACAATGGCTCGTGAAGCGGCTAAAGAAAGGTCCTGAATTGGGAGCAAAATCGAGCTTGACATGAAGCCCTGCTGGAAGGGTTCCGGACATTTGGGTCCCTCGACTCTCTAACCCCACCTAGTGATGAACGTTCCAGTGGCTGCCAGGGAGCTTCCCATTTCTGCTTTTTGCTGCTCTTCGAACTTTTAGACTTCGACTTGCTGACAGCTCCGTGTTGTGCCTGAAACAAGCTCTGCCCAGTGCAAAGTATGCGGCACGAGCACTTCAAATGCTGTGCCGAGTGGTGTCCCTGCCTTCAGCTCTTGAGTGGCAGCCTTTATTTCATTTTTTGATTTGCCTTCACTTCGAAGCCTGTTGCTGGAATATGACGGGACGATGCATGCAGCACTGCTTGCGGCTGTCGCTGCACCGGCGCCTGAGGACGAGTTGTTGGATGTCCCTCTGCAGGGCCCGCCGTAGACGCTCAGCGGCATCAGCGTCTTTCGTGGCAGCTGGCTCTTCGACAGCTTCGATCTCGACGGGTTCGCCTTTGCTTTCCTGTCGCTTCCTCTTCTTGCTCTTGAAGTCTGGTTTCTGCGGTGCCGACACCGGCACTTCCTCACTGGTCTCATGAGTTTGCTTCTTTTTGGGCTTCTTGACCATGGCAAGACCGGATGAAACAAGAAGCGTCTTTGGCCGTTACTGGTGACGCTAGCGAACGTAAGTAGACTCTCATCTGCAACGTCTGCAATGGCAGGCTTTGCACAAGATGACGTTCCTCTGCTGAAGATCTATGTCAACATGACCTTGTGCGCTTGAATTCAAGGAGATGCTGCACCAGAACGATTGCCAAACGGTGCTCTGCGTTCCTGATTCCTTGCTGCCGTTGGCCTGCTCCGATTTTGCATATAGCTGCATAGCTGGAGGCCCGGTCTTGGTACTACACGAGCTCTATAGCATCTGCACCAGGCGTGCATGTAGCAATATCCTCGGCCGCCGTCGAGTTAACGCGCCAGGGCGTGTGTGTGCAGATTCATTGTAGATCGTGCCCCGAGGATACTGCTCGATGTGCCTGTGATGTGGCCATAACCGGCAGAAAAAAGTGTCTGTACAGAGTGCGATGTGGTTGTAACCTCCGCAGCAGGTCTGTGCAAGATCCAAGACTCCAAGATCTTTTGATCTTTGTGGTCACTCTGGCAACATTCGTCCTGACCAGAAAAGGGAGAGCGGTAACTTCCCAAACCAACGGACTCGTCGCGGCCTTCTTCGTCATCGCCAGTCAGAACACCCATTACTTGGCTAGAGGCGGGCGTGAGCTCGTAAATCGAGTCGAACTGAGCAATACACAACGGTTTCTGCACAAGCCAAGACATTAGAACATGGGGATGTTGTGTTGCTCGCCTGCTTCTCTGAGTCGTTGAGCAACGATCCAAACGCCACCGCCTGAGCTTCTGGCAAGAGCTGAGCACAAACATGTTCCCACAGATTCCTCCAACACCAATCTTCGCAGGTCGTCGCTGGTGATGCGAAGGGATTCCACCTCATGAACCACAGGCACGAGAAATTGGACCTTCAATCATTTGAATTTCTGAGATCATCTGCCGTTCGCCTCCTTGGATTTTATCGCCTTCTCCAGTTTCATTGTCGCTTCTTCTGGCGAGTTGACCTCTACACACATGGTCTCACAGGAAGGACGATTTGGCTGCGAGATGTAGGACTCCAAGCTCCGAACCATGCCCAGTGCATTAACCAACTTCTCTTTCAAAGCACGGAGATCGCCAAAAAGCGCCGTGACCTGGTGAGGCGAAGCTCCGGAACAGTCTAGGGGCCTGTATTCAATGGATATACTCGCTATAAGGATCAAACAGTTTCGGTGGATTCCTGACGCTTCCTTTGCAGGCTAATCGTGCTGATGGAGTCAGCAGACCATTGCAGCCAGTGGCGGATCGCACCAAATCCGAAGCACTGTGAGTCAAGGTTTGCCAGCCCCGCGGATTCGTCGAATGTTGGGGACGGCATGGGATGCAGAAATCAGAATCAGCTTCAGTGACCTCGTTGGTTTTCCTGGTGTTTCAAGCAATCATAAGTGGATTCGGACGGCCTGCTCAGTGTCCTCTGCCGTCGCTTGAGGACTTATACAGCGTGCTCGGGGGAAGCTCAAGACGGCTGTCTTAATTTGCAAAGTACCACACGAAGCCCTTGGCGGTGATGCGATGCCACTGCCATGCTGCCATGGCACGGCTCGATACTGGCTTGGGTGCAAGTCCGCCGCGAGCAACAACCGCCATAGAGCTACTAAGTGCTATGTATGCTCATCGCTAGTGTTGCCATCCAACTAAAACGCGAGAAACGAAACACAGCAACACCGCACAAGCAGAACAACAGACCAACGACTGCATTTCTTCGAGCATGTGTTTATGCTCTTGACTCGCGAAGCTCGAGCGGCCGTGTTGGGGTTTCCAAACGCGGCGACGCCAGCAAAAACAGGGACAAACGTTCCGGATGCACCGCAGACGCCAGTCTGCAGCCTCAGTGAAGCGTTTGCATGTGATAAGTGCGGCTGAATCGAAGCCCGGTGCTGACAGTCTGCGAGGCATCACGCCTCCACGTCTTTTGTCAAAGAAGCGGACGGGTTTCGCGGGTAATTGTGGGGTGCACGGACGGAGGTTGCTCTTTCCATGACAACACCCTGGACGGGAAGGTGCGACGCAACTCCAACCCATTCGATGATTGTATCCAATTTCTGACGAGACACAGGAGAACTGTCAGAAGTCCTGAAAAGCCGCAAGTAGCATGAGCTAGCTTTCGTGACAGAAAGCAGCCAAACCTACGACCTAAAACGTTCCGGTTTGAGGATGTTTGAGGGAGGCGCGTGTACGGAGGTCAACCTGCTGAATGTCGCGGGAAAAAAAAGATTCAAATATATGGCGACGTCCCCTGGTTACGATCGCCTGTGACGGTTGAAGCAGCGCTGGCAGCAGTGAGACACTTCCACCGCAACACAATGCAACTCAAACTTTGGGCCTTGACACCTTCAGCGAACCGATGACCGGTAGTCAATTGCAAACCCTCGCAAAAGGCTTGGACCTGCATTTCCATGGCCAGCTGTGCCTCTGCAGATGTCACCGCCCACCTGCGATGCGCTCTCTTGCCGCTGATTCACAGAGGCAAGAATAAGCAAATAAGCATCACGCATGCTTTGTACTTCGTCAGGCCCGAAGGAGCTGATGTACGCCTCGACCGCTGCCAAACAAAGTGACAGCACGGCCCAGCTCTGCAGCTTGGGCATGGGCTTTCAGGGAGTCGGCAGCACCAGGATCCTCCAGCAAACACGCTCACGACAGCATGTCCAGCTTGCAGACCTTTGTAAGTTTTTGGAAGCCCAACCTGCGAGAAAGGATTGGAAGCTTCCTCGCTTGCCTGTGAGATTTCCAGAATCCGGCATTGAGTGGCACAGTGTGGCACCGCGGCCGCGCATCCGCCTCTTCTTCACCCCAGGCGCCAAAAGTCCCCGCCAGTTTCTCAAGTTGATACCTCCGCCAGTTGCAATCCTAGAAGCCTAGGGCCTGGCACTTGACTGCCATCTTCAGCCGTACCTTTGGTCGACGCGGCGAAGGTAGTAGCCAAACATCGCTGACATTGCGTAAACCTCAGGCTCTCTCGAAGCCAGACGGACACGGCACGACACGGACAGACAGACGATATTACACGATGGCTGCAAGGGCTCAACCTGACCAGCTTGAAACAAAGCAATCTGCACAACGCCCATTCCTCCAGCGAAGGAAGGGTTGCCTGGCAAGCTTGAATCTATGGCCTGCAGGCCTATAATTAATTTGTGTCATGTCGGCCTCCTTGCTGCCCAATGATGCGGAAGAGATGGTCCCGCACAAGTTCCAGCGCATCTGCAGAGTAGATGTCCGTGGTGAGACCCTGCATTGGAGAGTTGAGCAGAGAGGTTCACGACTCGCTTAAAGCCGCCTTGAGATCCACATTTCCGAAGCGCACGTCGCCACCCTCTTTCAATTGAGGTATCAAGGGTACCTTGGAGGTGCTCTTGAAATTTCTCATGATTGTCATCGTGAACTAGTGGCACATATACACACGAGTAAAGCAGCTCCGAGGATGCTGCTTGCAGCTGCTGAAACTTGCGGCACACCTTTCAAACGACGGTATGCAATGCTGCCACGGCCACGGTCTCCAACAAATGCTTGCACGAGCCTTCAAATAGAGCAGCTCTGTGACAGCACCTCAGAACTTTTCAATTTCGCGTGGCTGAAGCGGCACATTACAGATTTTCTGCTGCAGCGGGTTTCAACAGCGTGGACTCCGCAGTAGCTTGAAGCCTCACAGAACATCGATAAACAGTTTGGTCGAGGAGCGAATGCGTTCGTTCATCTTGACTTCTTCAATCCGCTTTCTCAGCACCAAGGTGTCCTAGCACATGAACAGTTCATTAGCGACATGCCTCTACAGCTGACATGAACGGAGCACCTCTTTGGCATTGCCCTCCAAGTCCTGGGCAACTTGCAATCGAGACTGGTGCAGGCTACTAGGCATTTAGCTTCAGCTTTTCGCGCCTTCTTCTGCTTCTCCTCGTCTTCTTTCTCAACTTGGAGTTTCTGTCAGTTGCCCAGCTGTGCATCTCTCAATCGAAAGCAGAAAACAGGTTTGCGGGTTTTTGCCCCTGTCGCCTCGAGGTCTTCATCCACGGTCACGTCAAAGAGAACGGGATTCTCCTTCTTTGCTTTGTCGGTGTTCATGCTATCTGTGCTCGTATCGCTCGTCGCTTGGCCTTCATCAGGTAGTAGGACTTCTGCGCAAGGCCCGTGTAGACTTCAGCAGGCCCAGCCTGTGAGAAGCTACGCATCTTCACAGAGCTCCCATTCCCTTCCGCCTTTCCGCATGCTTTGCGTCGCAGCGGATCCTTCCACTTCTCCGGAAGATCTGATGCCCGCATCATAGATCTTCTTGGAGTGAGCACCTGCAGCCAACTGATCATAATAGCCGTCGAATTCCCGTCCGGTTTGCACATGAGCAAGTTAAACATATCAGATACGTGGCCTTTGGATGCCAATTTGCGAAGGTCAAGTGGTGCCAGTGGTGCCAGTGGAGTTGCAGGAGTGCGGCCACCTCGGCTCCGGTCACTCGCGGCGCGGCGGGCTCGGCACGTCTCGGCCCGGCTCGGCCCGGCGAGCTTTTTGCACACGCGGAATGGGTCCCTACTCTGTGGTCTCGAAGAAGTTGGCTTGGCAAAGTGTACCCTTCTTGACATGTTCAGCTGTCCCCATCAACAAATGTTCCTCATCGATGCTCGTCTCAAAGGACTTCGAAAAAAGCCTTCCGCAAGTCGTGTTCCAAGAAGCGAATGCTGCTGATCATTGCCATGAGGTGCCACTAAGACACAGGAGCTGAATGGTCGACAGTTCCACGGTTTGGCGTCCTCATGCAGTTTCCTGCTGTGGATGTCGTGCAGCGATCGTATGATCCGTTCATGTATTTATTCCTCGTGTCGTCTACCTCACGACGTTGTTTCAACCTTGAAGGCTTGCAAAAAGCCAACATCGCCTCGAGTCCCTGCTTTCTCCCGAGGCTGCAGTGACCCTCTTAACCACCTGATGTTGTCCTCTGGTACTCATTGCAGTAGGCACTGCAAGCTGGAAGGCTGTATAGATGCTTGCTGTGAAGTATCATGCCGGAACGGAACTTGAAACTCCGTTCAGGGCTACTCACATGCCCGTGCTAGTTGCGAAAACATATCCTCGGGTTGGTCCGCTTCCACAACATGCCTACCTTTAGCCCAACTCGTCAAAGAACTTTGTAAGAAATATGCGCAACTTCCACGAGCGCGACCCCGACCACAATCACAACGACAAAACCCACCACGACCACCCGTACTGGCACCGGCACCAGCACGACAGCAACAACCGGCACAACCACAACAAGAGCAGCAACCACAACCAGAACGACAACAGTAATATCACTGACAACAACAGCCATAATACTGATAATGATAAGGATGATACTAGTAATCTGCCGAGGCCGCAGGCCCAGGCGTATTGGGGCTTAATTCAGGTACCCTCCACCCAATCCTCCTCCCTACAGTCCCAAAGTTTGGAGACACCCGTTTTTTTGCAATCATTTCCCAACCCCCTCCCGCCCCTGCCCCCCTACACCCTGCCCTGCCCCTCCGTCCCTTGCCCCCGTCCCTCCCACTTCTTTCACATTCTCTCACCGTGCCGGTCTCCGGCAAGCCGAGGCGGGCTGCGTAGCGTTAAAATTAAAGTCATGATTCAGAAAACTGAAGATGATAATTGTGATAAAAGCCAATAACGATAATAATGATAACCGTGACAGCAGTGATAATGATAGTAATGGTGGTCATAGCAGTTGTAATAGTGACAAAGCTCCGATGCCTTCTTTATTCGCGCGTCTCGCAAGACAGACAGGCACTTCGTATTGCACGAGCCAGTACGCAACGACATTGTTCACCGATTGTTCTCCGTGTGAAATATCAGCGTTTTCGCAATAAATGTGTTGAAACCATTGAACTTGAAAACTTGAAAACACTCTCGGACACCAGAGCGTCTTCAGGCTATGTAGACGTCTGCATGGAGAGCTCAGCTGGGTTTTGTCATTGCACCGCGGTGTCTCGGGATGAGCTCAAACTCGAAGATTTTCGAAAGCTTCAACTGTTTCCCGCAAGCCTTGTCTTTGTTTCTCGAACTGTTTTTGAAAGGTTGCCTGGGCTGTTTCTGATGGTGTGTCTGACCGCTTCTCTTTGCCGACTCTCACGGCATTTGCAACACTTTGAGAGATGCATTGCATACATCAGACGGTTACTGGAAGCATAAAGTAAAAAGAGTCGTTGGGATCATGAACAAGATATCCTAAGGAGTCGATATACCTGAATATGTCTTGACGCTGAACATGCGAAGCAGCCATACCCCTCGTGACAGGGTCTTGGTTGACCTTGCGGCTGGCTTTCCTGTCAGTGTCTTCTTGGTCTGCGAGGCTTTGCTGAAGCTTCTTGGAGCGGATGTTGGCAGACGAAGGCAGGTTACAGGAGTTGAAGCCTAGTGATTCGGTTTATCTGGCACAGAAGGTATCATGGCAGGCATTGTTAAGTTGTCCGACAGGCCCCTTGCCGAGGCGTCCCTTGTGTTGCCACTGCAAAGCTTGGAATCTGAGCTTTCGACGTGACGCGAAGAGTATTCAACCAACATCCGCAACACTGCTGTTGTTGCGACGTAAACTCATCCATCTTGTTCTGGCGCATGCTTCCAGTGAGCGACGAAAGTCCAATCAGTGTCATGCCGAGATTTGGAGCAATACTGCAAGCGAAAAGCCTAATCCTTGACTCCTAAACTTTAAACCTACACCCTAAACTTGGAAAGTAGCAACCCAAATCTCGAAGCTTGAGCGGTGACGGGCCGCAGGTCTGTGGCACAACAAGGCAAATAGGGAGGGCTTGTGATGGGACAGCACCAGCTCACTGACTTGTGAGCATTCTTGTGCTTGCTTCAAGGAGGTGCTTTGCCACCTGAAATCATTGTGGTGCCCATTTTTTCTTGCACTGCAGAGAGACGTCATCATTCTTGGATTATCTAGCCAGTGGTTTTGGGGGTCCCTTGGCTCTTTAGCTCCTTATTTAATAGGGATTATTATCATCCCTGGCTCCTTAGCTCCTCCAATATCAACAGTAAGTTATTTTCGCAAACTGAAGCGAACTCCATGGAAGCAAGGGAAATATTGCAATTCCGCTCAGAACACCCCTGAAACGGTTTGGAAGCCTTTGAAAAGACAAAAAGACGGCCAACATCACCGTGGGAGGCTTTTGGGAAGACTTACAAGGCCCCAGCACGAAGTTGCGCGAAGTTCTGAGGTCCCAAAACAGCAGAGTTTTCAAATTTTCATTTTTTTCAATCCAAACAAGCCCCCGCATGAAGTTGGCCGGGATTTGGAATCTTTCTGTGCAATGTTTGTACAGCTTGCTCTGTTTTGCCTGATTTCGCATGAGTTTGAAGAGTTTCCGCGTAACATAATTGCTTTCCAGGATTTGAAGCTGCCAGTGCGGATCCTTGGAAAACTTCAACGCAATTGAATCATTTCCAAGCCTGTTGGGTAAAATCCACAGACATTCAAGCACTTTGCGTTGACTGAGACATTCCATTGCATTTGTGCTTCGCGCGTTGCACTGTGTGACGAGTTTTGGTAGATTTTTGAAGCAGTTGGCAGGATCATGTCTTTTCTGCAGTTTTCTGCAGTTTGACATCCTAAATCCCGCGCCGACCACGCGTCATAAGAGACAGAGATTTATGTGCCAACACGCTCAACAGGCGCTGTAGCAGCGGCTACCACTGTTTGGAAGCCTACACCTGTGAGACCGATTGCGTTACAACTTTCGGTCATGAGCCTGAAACATGATTAAGACAAACCTTCAACCCCAAAAGTCTGGTTCAAGCCGCTGTGCTGCTAAGTATTCTTGGGATCGCAGGCAGATCCTAGCGAGCCTGAGATAAAGTCCGTTTTCGAATTATAAATGCAAAACTCAAACCTGCGAGGATTTCAGGATCAGGGGACTGTTTTCCAGCAGAACAAAGAAACCCGAGGTCAAACGCGAGTTTTTCCACAAAATATTAGTAGAGAATTAGTAGAGAAGTAATTCAGAAGGCTTTAGAGAACTCTGTCAGTAAGATCATCGGAAAATGCCTCGGCTAGGATATTGACCAGGATCAGGTGTCAGAAACGCATTTCAGTACTTGACCATTTTTGGGAATACTGTCCTTCATCATAAGCTTCACAATCCCAACAATAGCAACAAGAACAGTATGCACGCCACCACCACCACCACCACCACGACCACCACGACCACCACGACCACCACGACCACGACGACCACGACGACCACGACGACCACGACGACCACGACGACCACGACGACCACGACCACCACCACCACCACCACCACCACCACCACCACCACCACCACCACCACCACCACCACCACCACCACCACCACCACCACCACCACCACCACCACCACCACCACCACCACCACCGTCAACAACAACTACTACTACTGCTACTGCTACTGCTGCTGCGGCTACTACTACTACTACTACTACTACTACTACTACTACTACTACTACTACTGCTACTACTGCTACTACTACAACGACGACGACTACTACAAATAATAATAACGATAATAACATACCAATTTTAACAATGATAATTAGTAATAACAAGAACAAGAACGAGACCAATAACAACAACAGCTACAGCTACAGCTACAGCTACAGCTACAGCTACTGCTACTGCCACTGCTACTGCTATGCTACTACTACTACTACGACTACGACTGCTATTATCATTATTGCAACAGCTACAACTACAACTGCTACAACTACCACTTCAACTGCAGCAACAGCAACAAGAACAATAACGATGACAAGAACACAGCAGCAGCAGCAGCAGCAGCAGCAGCTGCAATGACCCCAGCAACAAAGACGACAACGACCGAAAGAAAAAAGAGCGAATATCACAGCGGCTTGGGCCTCCTGGAGACGACAGCGGCATCAAAGCACTTGCACAGGTAGGAAGGTCTCAAGTCTCTACAGCATTGACCGCTTTACCTGTCGCAGCCTGTTCTCCGCTTGTCTTCTCTGCGAGGGGTTCCATTCACAGATGAGCGTTTGTCAAAACTTCTTGTTCATGACTAGACGATGGATGATTTGGGCGGGGTCCTATCGCTTTACGAGGATTCCGTCACATGTCTTTATGGAGGTATCGCCTTGCTCTTGTGAAAGTAAGAAGACCATCAGACTCACTGATCCTACTCGTACCTTGCCCTGCCCTTTGCTGCCCTTTTCTGCTCTTTATTGCCTTTGACCCCTCTACTGACCTTTACTGCATGGGGCAGTGGCTCATAAAACGATCTAGTAGGTATCGATTAGGGTATCGACGGTATCGATTAGGGTATCGACTGCCTGGTATCACACGGAAAATTTAGGCACACATGCCGCGGCTGCAAGGACATATCCCAACAAATGATCCTCGTTAATCGTATCGCTTTTGGGGGGGGTCCTATCGCTTTCCAAGGAAATTGGCAAAATCACACATTCCACGGTCAGCCTACTCTTAACTACAATTACGGAAGTCTTGACGGATGCTCAGATGATGACTAAGAAGACACCACATCTCATGCAGCGTCTATCTCCAGGCCACCCATCACATAGCTGTGGACGTTTGCCGTTTGCTGGCAGGCGTGCACAGGAGACGTTGCTCGGCCGGTTTCGAAGCACCGATGCTCGGGGATGGCAGGCAAATTTTGGTCTGCGTGGGGCTATGCGGGTCTTGGATTTGAGGCTGCGACGGCCACAATGACTGCACATCCTTGGCAGCAGGGCAGCGTTGCAGACCACAGCCACGCCCGACACAGTCTTGGCGCTGCGCTGAGCAAGTTTCTGGGTCTGGAAAGGCTCCTTGCCGTCCGGCCTCAGAGGTGCAGGACTGCAGTGGCAGGATCTAGCAACATGTGTTGCTGGAATGTGAATGTTGGAAATGGAAATAGGCTGCTCAGAATGCTGCAGGATGTCGACGCTAATGCCCACGACATCGTGTCGCTCGACATGGGCACTCCCTGTGATTGTCTGCAAGAGCTGTGCGCTAGATCGAGCCCTTGGGACAAAAATCGAGCATGATTCTGACCATAAGATCTCACAGTCTAACACTTGCTCACGGAGCGTTGCTGCACACTGGACGGCGTCTCTGTGGGGCAATGTGGGACCATGCGACAACACATACGACGTACGGCTGCTTGAGGTATCTTGAATGAATGAATCGTGCAGAGGTTTCAGAACGGCTCCTGCAGAATCGAAGAATGGCGAATAAAGACAGCTACAATCCGACACCTGCTGTCCATCGGCGCAGAAGCTGTTTTATCCTCTGGGATCACAGTGTATCAATGAACCTCGGATTCCTCCCATACCCGTTGCATCCCGTTACCTTCTCCCTTTTGCATGGCTGACACTGCATCACCATCGTCTACAACAAAACCCTTTCGGACGTCGAACATGACAGATCATGACAGTGCCAGTTTCGGCACTTACAAACATAGCATAGGGGCGTACTGCATCGAAGCCTGAAAGTCACGCTGCATGTCAAGCTAGCTGAGAAAGAGAAGGTAAGTTGGGCAGCTTATAGTCTTGAAGTCTTGTCAGGAGAAGCACAGGAACGTTATCATGTCCGAGCTGCCCACAATGCACTCTTGTCTTCATGCGCACTGAAGCAAATCATACTCAGCGCTTGGAAGCTGATCTATCTTAATTTCCAAGAGCGGTGCAGCCTGCAAGAGCTGCTGTAGTTTCGGGGCTGCAATGCGGTATGCCCTCCTCTGGTAAAGCGACCAGGTCTCTTTGAGCGGCCGCGCAGAGTCGATACACGATTCACTGGAAGATTCTGCCGCAGCTTCTTCCATCAATCGCTGTCCTCCCGCACCCCCTGAGTTCGGTCACGGCCTGCAAGCCAAACTTGGAGGTCTGCTACACACCCCTTTACAAGCGGACGCTCAAAACGCCTAATGCCGGTGGAGTCGCTCCACTCGCCACATGTAGCCTGGAGCGACGCCCCTCTCTCGCTCGAGAGCCTACGGCCTACGCCATGCCTCGACATCTCCTGCAGCGAGAGTACCAGGCTGGACAGGCCTTGGCCGCTGAACTTGCAGTGTGAACGCAGAATGGACTTGTAAACTGTAAACAACACCAAATTTAATTAATTAAACCGTGCATGCGAGCGACCTTGTAGTTTTGGAGCAGCATGCCGAAACAGGAATGCGATGTTGCCTGCAACAGGTGATCCGACACACGAGATGGCAATGTTGTTCCAGATCTGCAAGATATCTGAGCAAGGGGCTGAGCACTGAATGCGCGTCTGCCGCCGACATTTCCAGGGCAGTCGTGAGGGTTACAGCCTATGAGCAGGATGCCTTTCGCGGCCTTTACCAAACAGTGCTCCTGAACATCGAAGAACTCAGCTAACTCAGTCGTGGGCACTGAAGCAGCCGCTGCTCCGAAGCTGGGAAAAAACATCGGACAACAGGCACAGTGGTGGCAGCGCCTGTCAATGGCAGCGTGCAGAAGACTGAGTCTGCTGGGCACACATAGCACCTTCTCGAGGAGAGGCATGAGACTGTCTACATCCCTCAGTCTTTGTTTCGGGATGCGCCGGTCACCTTAGTACTGGTAGCAATGTGTTCCCGGAAGATGACACCTTGAGAAGGGCCTGAGCCAGGCACGGCGACTCTGCCTTTTGGGATCGTCTCCTGCCTTGCACTTCGGTCTGACAGGCCATGATGGCGCCTGAGATCAAGAGGTCTTGCAAGTGACGGGACGAGGATCGAAGTTTTCAGACACGGAGCGGCAATCGCAACTTCTGTCTGAACAGCATCGGGCTTTCGAAGCCTCAAAGCACTTACAATCTTACCCTAGCGCACCGACATGCACGGACAATCTGCGAACAAACACGACCGATAACGTTTGCAGCTTGGTGCAACGGCAGTGCAGACAGGTCGTAGACCTTGGCCTCAGGAATACCTCTGAGGAAGATTTGTGGCCGCGGATGCCGAAAGTCTACATGTCTGCATGTTTGCGACCAAAAAGACGCCCCACGGCGCACGTTCCTTACCTGCATGGCGCGTCCTGGCTTCGACCGTTGCTTGGAAAGGCACGCTGCAACTAGAAACAACCTTCTGAAAGGTGTATATATATATATATAGTATATATAGTGTATATATATATAGTATATATATATATATAGTATATATATATAGTATATATATATATATATACCTGATGACCGGATGGTCATTCATGCTGAGCTTGTTGCCACGATGAAGACATCTTTGCCATTTGCCTCGGAACAGGACAGCCCATGCATTGTCCTCAATTGACGTACTTGGTGCTTTGCGTGCTCTTCCGTCGGAATTTCTGAGTGAGACACGGTAGGAAGCCTTTTTGTCCATGCTCGTACCTGCGATGATCTTGAGGTGCATGAAATTATAGAGAAGAGTTGACGGTCAGGATGCATCGACTTGCGTGAAGGTGTTTCGGTACCCTCGTTGAGTTCTAGTCCTAGAGTGTGCCTCTCTGCATGACCGGAAGAGCTTCGGCTTGCGAGGACGGATACGAATGGCTGTTGTTGATCACTATGAGTTTTTGCGCAGAAAAATGTGCATGGTCCCTACGCCCTACGAAAGGAAGAATGGCCACTGCTAAGGATGCGATGACACTCGCACATCAGGCGCGTGCACATGCCGTTTGTGTGTGTGTGTGTGCGCGGGCGTGTGCGTTAGCGCAACTCCGAAAAACAACGATTTTTGGAATTTGGGGTTCTGGGATGGTACCGTGAGACCTAGCCAGGTATGAGCATGTACAATCCTCGAGATGACCTTCATTGTAGTGTAGCGTCGTCCGCATTACCCTCAAGTCACTAACACGGCATTCTTCCCAGATCCCGACACCTTTCTGGGAAGTCTGCGAAATGGTACTTTCGGAGCACGCGCGTAAGTGTAGATCCTCCCTCCCAAGGAGGGCACAGCTCGTGATTTAGATTAGCACACAGACATCCTTCGTCTAACATGCCGTGATCAAAGCTTCAACAGATTTCAAGATCAACGAGAGCAGCATCAGCAAGGAACTAAGCTAGCACTTTGTCTTCCTGGCGAGACGTTTTGCCATGGTGTCTGGTAGATCGTGAGACCAGGGTACTTAACTGCAATTCCTGAAGTCTGTTTGTCGCAAGTCTGGCCATAACTGCTCGTTCGCGTCCATTCTCTGCCATCTCGTCTGGGCTTACCGAGCACTGCTTCAAACATGACAACCACTTGCAGCCTGCAGAGGGCTCACGAGCGGAGCTTCGCTCGCAAATTGGCAATTTCGTCTCTGAGTGCCAGCTCCTCCGATATCTCCAAAGATGTCCAAAGCCATTCGTCACTGCAATCCAAGCCGGAGTTGCACGCTCTTCGACCCATTGAAAACCAGCAGTTGCCTCCTGCACCCGACACAAGAATCAGACGGTCGCAGCAGGTTCCCACCTACCCGCAGTCCACGGCAAAGACTCAACCGAACATGTGGAAAAGGCAGTCTGGATACTTGTTCAAGATCCTCGCAATTCACATCCAGGTAATCACGTTGATCACTTTGACCTGCAAATCCAGGTGGTCGCCTGGGGTCTATAGAGCTGCGCTCGTTGAGAGGCTGACGGAGAATGTGCACATCCGGATGCACCTGGGACCTGACAAGCATCCATTTACGGCACGGGCCACGGCTCACGGGGGATGGGTAAGTGCTCGGGCGCTTGCGACGCAAAGTCCTTCGCTTCCTGAAGAGCTCTCGGTCCCGGGATCTGTCAATACAAGATTTCTGGGCGCCACGCCTCCAACGCCTCCAACGAGACACTTGACAGGAGACAGCTTTCTTTCGTCTGACAGTCTCTGTTGTGTGACCTGCCTTTGCCCTTTCGATTTGATACCGCGCCGACCAGACGTTGATGGTCATACTTGCATCTCTCTCAAAATCGCTTCACCGGTTGGCGGCTGGGACCACCAGCCGCCGACTCAGGAACCCCAAAGCTTCAAGCTCACTTTTGTCTGCGGAAGCTTCCGCAGCGAAGGTCTCGGCCTTTTTCCGGGCGCTTTCTCGCCCCCTCTTGAAAAACCAAGACGAGACTCAGGCATACCTGCTCACACGCTCGATGGCATCAACTGTCTCGCGGATTCCAGCCCCCAAGCCGCTCTATCTTTGTTGCTGTTATCATGTCGCTGGCATCTTAGTTCCAGCAGAAACAGTTGTCGCGAGGATTGCCCCTCCCAAACATCTCTATCCCTGTAACTGTTGCCATGTTTCGCGCTTTCTTGCAAAGCCGCGTTCCGAAAAACAGCAACTCTCACGAGGATTTCGGCTCCAAGCCCCTCCCATCCCTGTGACCGTTGCAAAGTTTGGAGACATCAACGCGAGGTCCGCGTTTAGAAACCACACCTGCTTCGAGCATTCCGCTCCCGACCAGGGGGGAGGCGGGAAGGCGCGACGCCTGACCACATAACCATCTATGGCCCATGTTGCCGCGAAACACAACGACCTCAAGATTGTGCATATTTGCATCACGATATTACCTCAAAAGTTACCTTGCCGACGCAGCACAGTGGGCGAGCGCGCTGGCAACCGGACGAGGATCTGACCATGGCAACCACAAGATTTGGAGTCATCCGCACGGAGCAGGCGCAAAGAAATAAGTGCATTCTGGCGTCACTGCGCATCGGAACCGACTTGACCCTTGCATGACTTGTGCAGAAAGGCTCTCCTGAGATCTCACACAGTTTGTATTGGGCCGGCATGCAGGCATCGAAACGTGGCCAATATGACACGTCTAGCTGCGTTCTTGGTCATTACAAGAGCGCAGTGCTTCTGTGCAGCACTGTTGGCTTCGCTTGGCTCCAACAAGCAGACGAGAACGGTGATGGCCGGCCAGCATGGCCAGCGCCGAAGCAACGGGCAGGTGGACAAACTTGTTTACGTGCAACACACAGAGAAGTAGCACGCTCACACTTCGGATTTATTCACTGGTCCACTGTCCAGGAGACTTGGTGCCGCCGCAAGCACTTGGCACTACGTGCCTGGCTAAGCGACGCGAACGAAGTGCGGCTCGCGTGCGGGAGTGGTGACGGAAAACACTCTCAAGCCTTGGTTAAGGAGCTCATGCGGAACACAACTTTTCCAACAACGCGAAGAAAATCAACACTTTACCCGCTTGTCCCTAGATGCACACGGGCACTACACCACAGGCTTGTTTACGAACCAGTTCGCTCACACTTCCGATTTTTTACACTACACTGCCAACTACTTGTAGCTCACATGTCGATTGGCCGCTGGCACACTCGCCATCTGTGTTTGAATATACACTTTCTCCAACAGGTCAATTCGTCCACGGGACATCAGCGTCCCATGCCTCGTTCATCGTCCAGTGACTCGTTTTTGTCTGATGGTACGCACTTCGCAAAGAATTCCCACATGAAGCCATTCAGAATGAATGCAAGTAGACTGCACTGAAAGCGAATTCCACAAGCACTGCCTTGTTCTGAGCTGCGACCTGACAGCGAAAGGCTTCAAAGGCTTCAAAAGCACCAAACACCGCAGATAACCAAAGACCATAGAAACGTGGCGAATCAAGGCACCTGTTGTGTCAGGATGTGCACCTTCTGCGCCAATCCCCTGCGCAGCCGATGATTTCAATTCCTGACGCATCCTGCGTGCTGAAGATCCGGTCCTGACAGTATTTCCGACCTGGTGGAAGGTGTCTTTCAAGTCCTCATCTTTTCGGCAACGAACCCGATTGGCAAAGCGACCGGTGAATCCTTCTCAACCCTGCGTAGGATCAAGGAAATCTCTGATGCGTGTCTGGCCCGTTCATGTGCCAGAACCTGTGCACCAGTAGCATGTAGCTGCGATCAGAGCGCGTGGATGCCGCCTGGTTCATGGCAGCATGCATTCGCGAGATTTGATGAACCTTGGCAGGTGGCGCGCTATGGAATGAGAAGGGCTGACGAAATTGATAAGTGCAGTATCCGTCGGCGAGAAGGGTTGTATGCCACAGTGCGCAAGACCTAGTTAGATCGAGATTGATTCCTGGAGAAATCTATTGACTCCTTTTCCCGCTCCCGACCGGGGACACGACTGCATGCGGAGTCTGACATGGTCTCTTGGAATCTAGCACTTCAGCCGGTATCTTAGCAACATGTGCCCCTTCCTTGTGACGGCTGCCCCGAAGTCCGGTACCCTTCTCGGTGCGGTTCCGTTTCTGTTTGCTCTTGTCATCTGTTGTCAAAGTGCCTCCAAAAGCCAGATAGTTCATCTGGGCTGGTGATTCATTGAATGTGCTGAAAAACAACTTCGCAATCTGAGCTGAGCAGCCATGCAGTCGCTGGCGGCAGACCTGCTTGCCTGACGAGACGTTCGAGTCAAGATGCACTTTGATCGTTGACGCCGCCTCCGGGCCCTGCTCCCAGTTTGCATTCTCCGCCTGCATTGTGCCATGGTGCAGCTATTTGTATTCAGTGCGAGGGAGGCAGTCCAGAAAACGATTTGCGTTGGCTGGCTTTGAACAGGGATGCGTCAGGTGGGGGGAAGGCAGACTGCTCGAACATGTAATACATGTAATGTAGCCAATGGAGAAGCGCCATATTTTGTTTCTATCACGAACTTGCAGCTTTGGCGTGTCGTCAATGTGCATATAGAGGGCGCCCCCCGACTGGGGGAGCGTGACAAACGACCTGACGCCGAATTCGTTATCCTCAAGCCGCATTGCTGTAGGTGATGCCAAATTTTGACGCCACGTTGAATTTGGTCGTGACGCCGAACCGAATTGTTTCCTGACGCCGCATTGGGTAGTGACGCCGAATTGCTCACGCCGCATAGGTGGTGACGCCGCATTGCTTACGCTGAATTACGTGGTGACGCCGGATTGGTGACGCCGCATTAGGTGGTGACCTCGAACTGCTGATGCCACATTACATAGGTGGTGACGCCGAATTGGGTCGTGACGCCGGATTGTGAAGCCACATTTTCCGAGGCCCCGGGATCCTATGCCAGAGCCAGGCCTGATCCTGATGCTCACATGCATGGGTGCGGCACTGATCTGACAACGCACACAAACACCGAACTGCGCTTTGTGCAGCTTGCAGCTCAGGGGCAATAATGCCTGCAGTCCCACATAAAGTATATGAGAAACAAAGAGAACTTCGACATCGATCGAGTACTTAACCGTTGGACTGAAGGATCGGTCGTGATTATTATATCAGAACTCTTATACCGACCTGGAACTCTGCGGGTGGTGCGCAACTGATCTTAAAATCCGAACTCTTGCAACCCAGGCGGAGCCTTGGACTGATGGGGCGCCCCTGTTCGTCAAATCCGGACTCTCAGAACAATTGAACTCCGAGGATGGAGCCTTTCACTGCTCGCCCGTGATTTTCAAATCAGAACTCCTGCAAGCCTTGAACTCCGAGGGTGGGGCCTTTGACTGATTGGGTTCCCCTGATTTCGACATCAGATCTCTTACACACCTTGAACTCCGAGGGCGGATCCTTGCACTGATGGGGTGCCCCTGATTTCTTCATCAGGGCTCTTACAAAATTTGAACTTCGAGGGTGGAGCCTTGGACGGATGGGGCACCAAGTCAGAAATCTTACAAAGCTTGAACGCCGAGGATGGAGCCTTGGACTGATGCGGCGCCCCTGTTTGTTTTAATCATAACTCTTACGAATATTGAATCTGGGGGATAAAGCCTTGGACTGATGGGGTGCCCTTAATTTTTGAATCAGAAGTCTTACAAATCTTGATTGTCCGGGGATAGAGCCTTGGACTGGTGGGGCGCGGTCAATCTCAGAATCAGAACTCCTGAAGCCCTTTAACTGATGGGGCGCACTCTTACAGAACAAGAACTCCGAATGTGATTATTAAATCAGAACTCTTACAAATCTTGAACTCCGAGCGTGGAGCTCTTGACTGATTGGGCTCCCCTGATTTTCGAATCAGGACTCTCCCAAACCTTGGACTCCGGAGATTAAAGCCTTGGACTGTGGGGGCGCCGCTGATCTAATGAGGACGCCTACGGTATACTTCTGACCGAAGATACAGATTGAGCCGTTTCCATACGTGCCCCTCCCCTCAATAAGGAGCACGTGTGGAGATGGAGTTGGGGGGTGGGTTGTTGCTTTGATTCTGTTGGCCGAACAACCAATGGACGGTTGGGCGCACGCCATCCCATAATCCTTATACATCTGGGTTTTCCAAGATGGAGCCTGATGTAAAGCCCCTTGTTTGAATATCGGATCTCTTGCGAAACCCATGCTCAATCAAATGTCGAATCATGCATGTGGATCTGCGTCGCAATGCGTCTGCGGTTACCTGGACCGTAGCCTTGCAATGTGTCTTCTGAAGCATTCTGAAGCCGTCTTCGCTACCCCAATGCGTCTTCGCCTACCCGATGTGAGTTCGCAATGCCTGTCCAACGTGTCTTCGCAATGCGTTTGCGCCACCCAATGCTTCTTTGCAATGCGTCTGCACCACCCGATGAGTCTTCACAATGCGTCTGCGCCTTCCAATGCGTCTTCAGAATGCGTCTGCGCCTGCTAATGCATCTGCGATCATCTGCGCCTATTAGGCTGTTTTTGACGAATGTGTCTTCAGGTCGTTTGCCACACTCCGCCAGGACGCCGTAATGTTGACGGCTGTTGGTGGTATGTGTTTTGCTTCTGGTGTTGATGCCGTCATCTCTATTGTCGGTAGAACAACTAGTATTGAATCAAGCCTCGCAAATTTGCCTTTGCCCTCTCTAGCGATTCGCAAAAAGAACATGCACCCTGTTGTCTTACAGAGAAGCTGTCGTACTGAGCCCAAGGGGTGCATTACTGGGCATTCTTGCACATCACGTGGCTCGGCTGGAGCGGCAATACAAGTACGGCTATCACCCAATACGGATGGACTTGCACACGTTGCCACACAAACAAACATAGATGCTGAGGGAAGACCATCAAAGCAAGCATGAACATGGCTTTACGTGGCGTCACTCTTATCAATCTGGCAACTTATAGGGCCTATGTCTTTGGCCACCTGTGGCCCTTGTGAATAGTGTCTGAGAAAGCTGCGCTTGTAGTAAAAGCTCTTGCCTCACGAGTGAAAGACTCGTAGCTTAACGCAGCGGCAAGCAAGTGTGTAGGACAAGTTATTTAACTGTGCTCGGATGATGCTGGTTTGGTGTAGTCTCAGAAGAAATGACAGTTGTTACCGCGTTTCGGTCTTGCTTCCGTGTTTCGCTCCTTTCATTTTTCATACAATCTCGCTTCCTTTACCTTGCTCGCTTCTGACTTCTCTCCTTCCCTCAGTCCTTGCCATGCTTTCTTGCGTTCGTCGGTACTTCCAAATAAGAACTGGGAACATCCGCCCGGCAAAACGTCTCCAAACCGCCAAACCCTAGGCCCCAGGCAACTCAAAGGAGCATGTACAAAAGAAGAGACCCCCCCTCACCGCACACACTAAACGAACCAACAAAGAGGCCCTGCATTCAGAAGCCCGAGTGGCAGTATGTGGCAGTCTGGGCATCTAGTGAAATTTAGTGCAAGCAGAGTGGCGGAAGGCGCAGAACTGCGCGCTGTGGACCAAAGCTGGCTCGGAAGATCCTGCCCAGCCAGACCGGCAATCTGCACACCACTCAGACCAAGAAAGAAAAGCAATCGCGGCAGGTCCTGATGGACGGAGAAGGCATCTCCACATGAACTCCTGGACGGCTTCCAGCTCCTCGCGGCAACTTTTCAGCGCAGCATTGACACGTCAAGCCGCCGGATCTCGTGTATGAAGATAACCCAGTGCTTACCCAGAAGGTTTGGTGTAGTGGGCCAGATTGAGCGTCTCTTACGAAAAGGAGCATGAAGATTGCTTCCATTGCTTCCAGTTCCATACGCTTTCTATTGCCAAGTCTCGTAGGGATGTAGTTGACTGGTTGACCACACTACCAAAATGTGCACACACTCGCGTCTGAGGAAAGGGTCAGCATGTTGTGTACATTTGGGGAGTCTGAGGCAAGGGCAGTCCAGGTCCAGCTGGGTGAAATGCCAGACTGGGGCAAGGTCAAGGAGTAACGCGCTGTTTGCACCATCCGGCTACGACTACTGCAACTCTCGGTGCGGGTGCTGTGGATCGCTGGGTTGCAAAAACCGGACTTTTGGACAGAGCTCTGAGGTGCGGCTCGCAGATGGCTGGCAAATCGGTCCTTCCGTTCCACACTTCCGGCATCGACACCAGTCTCGTTGGCGTTTCCATCGCGACTTCGGTCACTGCCGCCGTGTTGACATGTAGATTAATTTGAGCATATCTTGCAAGACCGTGGATCATTCTTGCCACATGTTTTGCGTTTGCCGCATGTTGCATCATGTTTCCAACGTCAACCACATCATACCACATCGGCAAAACCCTCCAACTCGCGGTCACATGAGGATTCAAAACTCAAATGCCTTCAGACCCTCACACGCACTCAGCCAGAGCAAACAGGGGCACTATCGGTCCGATCCTTTTAGACATTGCCGGACAAGTTGGCAGGCAGTGATGTTGAGCGCTCTCACGTTAAATGCTTTGGTGAAAGCGTGTCTGGCCACCGCCGTGACCGCCCTGTGCGAGATAGCTCTTAAGTCATTCGAGCAACTGCCTCACATGTGAGGGCACCATGCCCGGAGGCTGTCTTGCAACAAATTCGCGCAGCTGTGCTTTCCAATCAGGATGCTGCACCAAGACGTCCTGTGCACGACGTGCGCTGCGCAAGCGGGACTGCGACTGTGCAATGTCCTCCAGCTGGGAGATTGGCAGCATGGACAGCACTCTCGCAGCTCCGGTCGACTGGCTTGCGAACGTGTGCTGCAGCACAATCATGAAGCCTCTCCTCGGCTATGGCAAGCTTCCGCAGGGATTGGAGTCGGTGTTGCATGACAAGTCGCCACATCCTCTCATCGCCCCAAACCTCTTGTCGAACAAGTCGAGGAAGAATTTCCACAACGACAAAATCTGAAAGACGAGGAAGCTCCTTGACCTCCAACACCAAACCAAGTTTCACACAGCTGACAGTGCAACCCTCATGCAAAGGATGGGTGTCTGGCAACTTGAATCACCGTGCGCATGAAGAGTTGCGGAAGCGGCCCAGGCTCTTCAACAAGTGACTGAATAACAATTCCGTAGACTTTGGGGTCAAATTGGTCCTGTTCGCAATCCCACATGCTTCTTAGAGTCAAAGCAATGACATCAACATCTCAGCATCGACAGCTCAATCCCAGTCCCGCATGCCAAATACGATGTTGAGCGCTTGCATAGAAGACTGGATAGGTACCTGCAGTGTTGCGGCCGACGACCATGTCGCGCTAGCTAAGTGCTCGAACCGTCAAACACCAAGTGAACTGCCGAGACACAATGTTTTCACCTGGACTGTTAATGTGATGAAGCTCTGTGAGTAGCTCCGTCACCTTGCCAGCGTCTCTGAGTCGTGAGTCGCTCTAGGGGCATTAGCGGTCCAGTTCGTGAGGCCTGAAATCATCCAAGGGCTCGGCACTGAGTGGGGGGGAGCGCGCGCCAATAACAAGCCGGAAAGCATCAGTCACAAGGTCGGCCTCCAATTGCAAGACCTTGCTTGCATGCTTGCTGCCATGCTGCCATGCACATCCATGCACTCACCGTAATACTGTGGTGCTGCGTGACATCTTGTGAGCTCGCACTGGCACTACGAGTACAGCATGTGACAGCGCGACATTCTGCCTCCTTCCAAGACGGGTCGAACAGCAGATGCAAAGCAAGATCTCGCCAGGTGGGAAGATGTCCGACGTGACTGTTGAGCTAAGCGTTAGCACTGCTTGCCAAGAAGGTTATGGCTCATGATGGCTCATGCCCTTCGAGCGAAGGCAACGCTGTCTGCATTGCCACGTTAAGCGTCCGGCCGAGGGCAGGTAGTCCAGCAAGGTGTTTCCTCGCACTGCCGTGCAGGCTTTGAGTATCTCAACTGTGCAAGCACCGGTCGCCTGACCTCCGCCACCACCAGTGCGAACGAAACAGGACAAGCACTTCGCCCTGTCCCCACCTCCCGCCCTGTTTTCGCTAGGACCGCTAGGACTGAATTTGCTGTGCGTAGCCGGGGGCTAGACATGGACCCAGCTGGTCCCGTTCCATCCTGTTGCACCTCCATGCACCTCCCCAACTTGGCCATGCTCGGGTTGGCGGTCTTTTTCGGCCAAGTTCGCATGCGCGAAGGAAGCTTCAAACTTCAATTGTTGGCTGCATGCTGCTGCATCTCTGCTTCATTTCGGAGTGTTCCGCTGCTCGACACAGTGCAGTCACGCCCCCACTATGCGCCACGCTCTGTCTTCAACTGTCAACGTTGACCCTGGAGATCTCTTGCCAAGAAACCCTGTTCGATGGCTCGCTTGTTTGAAGTGGTGCCAGTACGAGCATTGTCGGAAATCATGTCTTGCCCAATGTCACCATGGGATGCTCGGTTTCCACTCGGCTAACTTTGTTGCACCGGTTTGGGGTGATTCGAGAAGTGGAGCTCATTCTGGCTTGGCACACGACTTTCCAGCCTGAGGTTCTCACACGACTATAAGTCAGCTTGCTACGAACGTTCCAATTACCAAAGACAGAGAGGAGGTTTAAAGGCTGTGAGAGTAAACAATGAATGACCGGCATAGTCTGCATGGGCAAACACCCTGTGGAAAGATCACCTGAATCGCTGCTACCGCGTCCCATCATCTCGTGATGCTGACCAGACCGGGATCCGAGCGGCAGTGGCTGGAGAGTACACGGGTCAAGATGCACTGAGGTTCCCGTTCTTTCGCTCTGTCAACAGTGCTGTGTCAGCGTGTACTGAAAACAATATTCATCAGCGAAAGTGGGCCGACGACATCCGTAATAACCAAAAGGAGCGTATTGACAAAAATGTAGCTGGTGGAAGGCACATTGAAGCTCTTTGAAGTCCGACTCGGCAACTGAAGCCAGTGACACTCAGGATCCACCCCGCACAATATTCCGCCAACTTGGCACGTGCGACTGGGGCGTGCGCGATCCAGCATGTCGAAAACGGGAACGAGCAAGCGAGGGTTCTGAGTTTCCTGGCAATCAAGTTGTTGCTTCCAGGCTTGGTGTTTGAGAGTTCGTTCGCCCGCGGTGCCCGGCCTTGTAGAGACGCACAACAGCTTCGCCGAAGCCTGGAAGCAATGGTTCCTTGCCCCTGCTTGTCCTTGGAATGCAAAGCTCGGATGCTACCTCCGGCAGCTGTAACATGGTTTTCCGCACAACATCTTCTGGCTTGCGGCTGCGGATTCAGCGAGATTAGATATGTCCGACCGGATACTAACATGCCGGTGAACTCACTGAGCTTGTTGATGTGCAAGGCAACGAAGCAGTGCTAAAGACCCGACATCATGATGTTGAGCATCTTGAGGACCAGCGCCTCTGTCTGTGGAGTTGCCTTGGAAACCCAAAGTGTGCTCAGAGGACTCTCGGACTCTCTGCTTCCCAGAAAAGCAATCCGGGTCAGAGTGCCAAGCCTTCTGCACGAGAACTAGCAGCTCCTGTCATGCACATGCCAATCCAGCAACACGTCACGCAGCTGGGGTTGTCGCCTGCTCTCCGACAGGAATATATCTGACTGCCTGCGGACATGCAAAATTGGTTCCGCAGCCGGTGCAGGGGAATGCAAGGGACAACCTCCTCGATGGAATTGATCAAGTGGTCTTTCATCGCGGCATCGCACTGGATGAAAGTCTCGACGAGCCCGTGCATCAAGATTGGCCTGGAACAAGTACATGTGTGGCACAGAGCCTGACCAGACCAACGCGACACCACGGGACGCCGGGATCAACGCCTCTTGATGCAAAGTGCCAGGTAGAGCCAAACCCTGTCTTTGGGTGCGCAGATTGCACCTGCCCCAGGCTTGAGTCGGACTTGCAATCAGAGCTGAAAAAGCTGTGACCACCTTTGAAGAGATCCGCACCTTCAAAATCAGAGGTGCGGAGTTTTGCTACGTAGCCTGCTCTTGGCTCCGAGCGTGTCTGCTCCAAGCGGAAGGGGATGCCGAGCTTGTGCCGGAAGTCACCCTCCTTACCCTCACGGGTTGCGACGGAGCCTCACTATGCGACACATACCGGAAGTGTTTATGATTCCTGTCTCGCAATGAGAAATGCGAGGCCCAAACGCAACATGATGGTTGCAACATCCTCGATGCATCGCCCACGAAGCCTGGAAAGGGAAATCCAAAACTGCTTTTGCGACGGAATGCGACGGACACTCTCTACAGCAGGCCTCTGCAGTGGCAAGAAGTCAGGGTCCGACAGGTCCCAGCTGGACCCGTCAGCGGTCCCCTGAGGAGAGACAAAGGGAGAGCAATGGCGCCAACGAAGGGATGTGGTGTCCGGTCATGATTCAAGACTGAAGACGAAGACATGCCCGAAGCAAGAGGGAAAGCTTGTGTTGTTCCTTCGATGCTAATCGAGACATCTATGTGATCTGAGTTGTACAGCTTCGCGACGTTGAGTGAGCCAGGAGCAATCGACCAGTAGCGAACGCAACGTATCAGCAATAGACACCCTGGCCTGTGTGAAGCTCCAGCGTACGTGCATGTGCAGCATGTGCACATATAGCTATGTGCACAGAGGTGTACATGCATTCATACAAAACCCCCGTAGTTTTCCATCGTGTCAGAGATGACACTGTCTTAAGGGTTTATTTGGGGGGTTTCTTCATGATCCGGCATCTGCGTAAATGAAGCCTAGCAGCAAATTCTTTGCGTACATTCCTAATCCGGCGAAGATGTTTTGAGAATGTGTGCATGCTGCTCTGCTGTGGCAGGGCCCAATGAGGCCGAAGAGATCTCCACAAAGGACTGTGCTTACCGGGGGCCTGGGCAGCGTGCGCAGAGGCAAAGGAAACAAATTACATGAAAGGACAGCTTAAGGGACAGGGGGCGGCAGGGCCCTGCGAGCGGGTGAGTGCCTCGATCCTCTTTGTGTACCGAAATCCGGAAGTTCTAAGGAGTTTAAGATTTTGCGAAGCTCAACATTCTGCTATCGCAGTGCCGCGCATGTTGTGGCTTTAAGTCGTGATCCTGCGACGGTGCTGTGCAAAATGTGCAAATTTTGTTTGCGACTCGTGTTTGCGCCTCCGATTATGGTGCTCCCCCAAAGTGCTGCCCCGGGAGTCGCGTTCCCGCCAGTGACTTGGGCTCTCAGGTGCTGTTCAACTGCTGGGCATCTACGATGGGCACAATAGCAGCGCTCTGATCCTCGGAAGTAGGATTTGCCTCTCCTTACTTCTCGGGTAGACTGCTTATCTTTGCCGGATCTGCCTGACTTTATGGCCTTCCGATGCCTGGCGATCGTTTCAAATTCCAACACCTTGGCAGCAGCTCTGCACGGATGCGCAGGGTAGCTACGTTTTGGCTCTATGGAAAAGCAGTTCATGATCCCATCAGCGAGACATCCCCGCTCGGAAGAAAGCGTGTATTCCGTAACACTTGTATCTGTTTCCAGGGTTCTCGAGGGACAAGGATTTGCCATTCTCCACGACTCCACGCCTTTTTGAACCCCTGACTGAAGTTGTACAACAGTTTATGCCGCCGTCTTGTCTCTTCACCAGTATTGCATGATCAAACAGACACATACGGAACTGGAATGCCGTCGGTGCAACAAAAGATAGCTACTTCTAGTCAGTCTTAGCATGAATTCTTGCTCGGGCCCAACGCGAATCAACATAACTCAGAAAGCACCCTTGTTCATGGTGACGGTCACTGACTATCTAAACCACATGGCGACTATGCACGTGCCCTACGTTGCGCAGTGCCCGCCACTGACGACCCCAAGCATTACGAAACAGCCCAAACAACGAGGCAGCTGATTTATTAAGAAGCTCAGGATGCAGTTAGATGTAGATTGCAACGGGAGAGGTGCACAAGAGCTCGCGGGGGTTCGTGACAGAAGCAAAAACGAAGGGAATACCATGAAGAGACCAGGAAAAACAGTTCTCGCACATAATGTCCTAAAGAGCAGACCAGAAGCATCCTCCCATCGCCAGGCCTCGCCATCTGCCATGAGTGGCAACGCCTCCTCATCGGTGAGGTGAGGGAGCTGCCACCCTTTGCAGGAGAGCAGAAATTACACCACCGGGCTGATAGAGGGCCTCTTTGTGCTTCCGTGCGACGCATGGCAGCCCTTGGTCCGGCAACGTAGATCTTGTTGATGATCAGTCGAATGGTGTCGAAACGAACCGAATCCTCGCAAAGAGAGAGCTTTCTGTCAGGCTGCGAGGGGGAGGGCCTAAGCGAGACGCCTCCCCAGAGGAGAAGGCCAACTTCAGGAGCAGCTGAAGGCCACGCCACCGGCAGGCAGGCTTGCCTATGAGCAGAAGAATGCTTCTGTTGCACTCTGGGCCGCTCCTTGTGGAGGCCTTCGATTAATGCCAGAATGGTAAGCAAAGCCATCTTTCGAGCCTGAACAGCAAGAGGCTGCTTAAACCCGATTCTTTTTGTGCCCCTTAAGGTAGCAACCGATGCAAGCTGGCATTGTGCTTCAAGCGCTCGGAAAGCAGAAACAGGCACCGCCGGGAGCTCACCGAGGAAATTTCTCAACTCACGCCTGACACATGCTCGCGCCCGTGCAGTGTACGTACCTTTATGCGCGCTTCATTGGAGCAGGCCGGCCTGGGAACATCTCGCTTTTCGAACTCAGCCAGGCACATGTCGAAGAGCTCCTGTCCGGCTGATTGCACTCTTCGGCAATACCACTGGAGCCGGCATGCGGCATGCACTATCGTGCCGTTGAATTCTTGGCCCCGCTCCGCGTAGGTGAAGCTGGTCCCTGCAAGACGCCTGGAAGATCCACCTGCCTCCAAGACAGTCACACGTCACTATGTAGAATGAAGACTTGCGCTGGTGCCTCCAAGATTTCACGGAGAGGTGCACTTGTTCCAACTGCGGACTCCTTGTCGCGTGCGAGAAAGCATGGACTCCCTGTAAAATCACAATGGATCTGTTCGGAGCCTGAAACCGGGCAACATCCGCGGAAAACTTCGCGTAGAACAGCTCCACGAGCTGATCCATGGCCGCTGATGCCCCCACCTTGTCAACTCGGAAAACATGTCTATTTATCTCTGCTGACACACATCTGCCTTGTTCGCTGATTGCAGGGAAGCCTGTCACTGCTAGGTTCTCTCTGGATCGCTCAGGCGGCTCTGTTATGACTGAGGCCTTCAATGAGTCGAAGGTACGCAGCACGTAGGCCTGACACCTTCTAAGCAACGCGAGGCAGTGTCATATAGCATGCACAAGTTCAACAACCATCTCAGCTGCCAGCATGGAACGCTGCAAATCTGGTTGCAAGGCTGTCCTTCACAGCACGAAACGTAGAAGGCGAAACCGCAAAGATGCATTAGAATCTAAACGTCACGGCGCTGCCGCTGACTGCAGAACTCGTCAAGAAAACGTCCTTGGACCAGCTGCAAGGTGCAAGGCAACCTGCGCGTGGCTCGCGCTCATCCCGACTTTGCAAATGTCTCGCCCAAAGGCAATCTTAGCCAAGGCAGTGGGTTGCATGGCAACAGCATCAGCAGCCATTCAGTCATGCCAAACTCGCACCTCAATCTGTGATGGGAGAGCAAGGCTTCTTCAACCGAACTGACTGCTGGCAGTTCCTTTAGCGGTGCTAAGGTCATTCCCTCTCCGCAGCTGTAGCTACAGCTACCAGTAAATTGTTCAACCAAACTTGCTGCCTGTGTCACTCTTGCAGCTGTACGCCCGAAGGCGACGATCGCTGGGTGACGCTGTGCGACGCTGTTTTGCGTCTTTGGCTGTTTTGTTATTATCGCTCCTGATGACTGCCCAGAGCTCTAACCATGTAGGCCTGATGAGGTTTGCCCTCGCAGTCGGAGTGGCTGAGAGACGTGATTGCATTCGGACAAGCAGATGGGCTTGTTCGAGTCGATTCGATTGTCAGATTGACGATCGTTTCTGAGTTCGACTTCTCCAATCGACCACGGTACTCACATGCCCGATGTGGTGGCGTTGTGAGTCAAGTGCCTTTTCCTCGATGCAGTGCGGTCTCTCTCGCTCTTTCTCTCTCCCCCTCTCCCCCGTGCTAGTTGAGCACTGGCTCCTCAGCTCGTCCGGTGAGGGGTGACGCTTCACGCGTCTATTGCTCGCCTTGAGCATCCTTCAAAACCCTGAAACCATGTCTTCACCATTTGAAAGAGCCTGCAAGGAGATTCATGACAATATAGATGCCCTCCATTGATATTCGGTTTGGCAAGCCTCGCGATTTGGGCCCTCTCGGCTGGTTGCACGAACTTCTTGCTGAATAGCAAGGATCTGCGTTCCAAGTGATTCTATAACACGTAACCACAGGTCAAATCGTCATGAGGTTGCAGGCACAGCAGCGGCCTGTCGGCTGACTTGCTCATACGCGGCGAGCTGCGATGGCAGCAGACAGCATTTTAGAAGCGACGTGTCCATTCCTCACACGAGGCTTCGGAATAAATCTTTTGGCTGTCATTGGCACAGAATGGGACAACAGCATAAGCGCACGACTGCTCCAGCTGGCCAAAATCTCCTCATACAGCTTCAACTGCAAAGCCTCGGTGCTTAAGTGCCAACACCGTGGCCCCGACCCATCTGCCAATGCACTGAGGCAGCCGCATCCTTTGCACGCACGTCTTTGGGAAGTTGCACCGTCCCAATTTCCATCGGCACAAGGTGTGAGGCATCGCTCCCATCAACACTCGAACGGTCCGCAGATAGTGCTGCCCTCGGATCGCGTGCCCCAGGCTCTTCAGGCTTGTCGGGTTCAATCCGGGAGGCCGCCTTGCCATCTATCAGCAGAGACAACTGCTCTTGAAACGCGTCCGGTTCCGATGCCCCGTTCGATCCGTGCCCCGGAACAGGATCGGAGAAGGCAACGGCATTTTCATGAGCACGTTCTCGATGAAGGCTACGCTGCACCGACAGCGAGCTCAAGGATGTAAGTGCTATGCGAGCGAGCTCAGCCTCCACACGGACATAATTTTGACTCAAGCGAGGGCAGTGTGCTCCTACGGTCCTACACCCACGTGAGATTCCGGCGACAAACAATCAGCAAGCCATTACTTCTTCTGGTCACCCTGGCGCCTGACTGCTGATCTTGGTCGCCAGCACTGCTGGACCAGGAACGTGCCCGGCTGGCTCCCGCTGACTTGGCAACCCGAAATAGTCTTCCAAACGCCTGCAAGTTGACTCTGCTTCACCGGACAGCAAAGCATCTGCATCAAAGATCACATCTTCGGCCATTGTCCCGTCACCGCATTGCCAGGTCCAGACCTTGGTCGTCTGTTCTCTACGAGTTCTCTCGTCCTGCCAGGCGACATGTCCGCGAAGTGCACACCTGTGCAAACTTACTCGCTTAGACACACAGACATACAAAGGGTTTGATGGGTGAATTTTGTCGACCGGAACCATCCAAACCTGCCGGACCAGAAAACTAGACCACCTAGCAACGTGCTCGATTTTGAGCGTCATCATTCCGCCATCTCTGTCATGGCGTGGTTTTGCAGAAGAACGTTGTCATTCCCCGCCCACCCACCGAACCTAGGAACCCAAAACCACTGAGAAGTCCGAACGTGCCTTCGAAACACCAAGAGTAAGAGCCAAAAGCAATATCGGACGTTGTGGGAAACGGCATGAGCGGCAGTGGACCCAAAGACAACATTGCGAATGCCGAAATGTTCTTGATGTCTGTATTGCGCACTAACCCGCGCCTGGTGTGCAAGACCAAGCAGGTCCCAAACCCTGAACGTGCCCAACAGGCACTAGGCCATGGCCGTTCTCATGGTTCGGCAATGTATGCTCTAAGCCCCAAACACATCGGACCAGTAACATCATGAGATCTTGCTATGGATGCTCTATCGTGAACGGCGCGCTTTCGACAGGGCATGAAGGAAAAAACAGTGCATTCGGATTGCTGCTTTTTACATGAAAATCAAGACTGGGAAACTATCAACATGACAACATCGGAAACACGAAAGCTGCAAATACGCTCTCAGACACAATGAAGGCAGAAGGGAACACAAAGCGAACATCGTCAACAAGCTAAACATTTCCGCACCAAAAATTCAGTAAAACACCGCATTCGTGACCAAACAATGTCAACAAGTATAGGTCTTCCTCTCGCACTGGGGGAGTGAAGGGTGGTGGTGGTGGTGGTGTTGGTGGTGGTGGTGGTGGTGGTGGTAGTGGTAGTACTACTACTACTACTACTACAACTGCGACTCGACTAAGACTACGACGCCGACGACTACTACTGCTACTACCACTACTACTGTTACTGCGACGACGACTATTGCAATCTACTGCTGCTTCTGCTACGACTGCTACTACTACGGCTACGACTGCTACTACTACTGCTGCTGCTACGACTACTATTCCTACTGCTACTACGACGGCGACGATTACGACGACTACGACGGACGACGACTACTACTGCTACTGCTACTGCTACTGCTGCTGCTACTGCTACTGCTACTGCTCCTGCTACTGCTACTGCTACTGCTCCTGCTGCTACTACTACCCATACTACTCCTACTGCTACTGCTACTGCTACTGCTACTGCTACTGCTACTCCTACTCCTACTCCTACTCCTACTCCTACTACTACTACTACTACTACTACTACTACTACTACTACTACTACTACTACTACTACTACTACTACCACTACTACTACTACTACTACTACTACTACTACTACTACTACTACTACTACTACTACTACTACTACTACTACTACTACTACTACTACGTGCGGGGAAACGGGACACGCAGGCTGAAACCTGCCACTGATAACTTAGAACTACTTGGTTCACTTGAGCCTGACGCAACATTGCCATCTAGCGTTTTACACTTTTACGCCATTTGCTCCGCTTGTGCCGTTTTACAATGCTTTACACAGATGCGCCACTTGAACTCCCTGTGGCCTTCGAAAAATTTCGAAAAGACAAACTTCGTAATTAGCAGTACTACTGTGAACCTCAAAGCCTAAACCCAAAACATCTAAACCCCAAAACCCTCGACCCTAAATTCCTAAATCCTGAAACTGCAAACCCCAAGCTAAGCCCAACACGGCTTCCTTGCACCAGCACAAGTGGCGGCCGTCCCTGAAGTGGGACAAGTGGCCTCCACCCCTGAACAGTCCTGGCGCTATACGCAGTTTGTAGTGTGGCAACACGAAGAGTTATCCAGTTTCAAGTGGTCAAGAGCCGCACTTGAAATAACGGGTTTCCCATTCCTGTTCGATGTACAACATGTGCTACCATTACCACTACTATTGGCTAGTACTTACTAGTTCTTAGTACTACGACGACGACGACGACTACTACTACTACTACTACTACTATCATCTACTACTACTACTACTCCTACTACTACTACTACTACTACTACTACTACTACTACTACTACTACTACTCCAACTACTACTACTCCTGCTGCTGCTTCTTCTACTACTACTACTGCTACTGCTGCTACTCCTACTCCTACTCCTACTCCTACTCCTACTCCTACTCCTACTCCTACTCCTACTCCTACTCCTACTCCTACTGCTGCTGCTGCTGCTACGAGCTTTGCTGTTATTATCATTAAAGCTACTACGAGTATCTCTGCTATTACAGACTAGCACCACTAGTAGCACGACGACAATGACGACGACGACGACTACTCCTACTACACGACGACTCGACGACGACGACGACGACTGTCACCACCACTAACATGACCACTACCACCGCCATCAGCCTTAGTATCGCTTCGCACTTGTTCGTTGGGCATGCTGCGGATGTCCTCACCGCTTGCTTCCGAGTTTCAGTATGTTTTCGCTAAACTACACAGGACTAGAAGCTCGACAGACACACACACAGAAAACACAAATGCCACGCATCGCATCTGGATTGCAGAGCTGAGACTTAGGCGTGCTTCGATGACTCTGTTCTTCTGGCCCGTTTGGTTGCACGAGAGGCAACGTCCAAGTCATCAGTGACCGTGCTGATCTGCTTGTACTTGGCCTGTGTGGATAACTCTTCCAAGGAACCGGACTGAGCAGTTCTGTCACATAGATCAAGGAGATCTGCAGACCACTCCGTGGTTAGCCCGGAAGCAACGAAGAGCTGAATCTCCGCTGCCACGAGCTTCTGAATCTCAGCATGGACTTGTGCTCCAAGCGCATCTTTGAACAGCAGAATTGCCCTGAAGACGTCGAGGCATGCGGGCAGCATGCTCGGTCGCTGCCTTGCGATAGCACCAACTGCACCGATCAGCTGAGGTGCCTTAGCACGGCCTCCATCATTGTACGCCCCAACGGCTTGCCGAAGGAGTTTCAACAGGAGTTCGAAAAGCTCCTCTGCCTGCTGCTGCAATGACAACGGCTCGAGGAGGGAAGAAGATGGCATCCCCATTCGTGTAGTGGGAAGGTCCTGAATGCAACTGATGCCTCTGAGCTCCGCAGGCAGGCGCACGTTCAGCAGCAATGGTGAGGCCGTTTGGGACAGGATCACCACGACTGCCCATCGTGTCGCCATGGCTAGAAGCGACACGTTGTCAGAATGTAGAAGAATTCTCGCCTGACGGATGCGAAGCCAACGCGCAGCCCCCAACTGACACCGACCGTAGTTTTGTAACCCACGGCCTTTCAGCTGCTTTTATGAACCACCCTGCCCTTAACCGCAGCGTCGGAACCTTGTCCTGCAGACGTCGCAGCTGCTCAGCAACTCGCTGAGACTCTGAGGCATCCTCCTGTTGCAGGGAAACCCCACGGACGTTCTCGTCAGAAATTGCTGCAACTCGTTGCTACTTCACTGAGTCTCCTTCGCCAGAGCAAACAAAGCCCTTCCGTGGTGCACAGAAGCCGCCTTCAAAGCCAGTTCCTGCACCTCCGACAGGGCAGAGTCACAGAATTTATCATCTTCGGCAATCATCATGCCGGGGTCGATGCAGCAGCATCACCATCAGCGAGCAGCACGGCAATAGCTGCCGAGCACCGTAGCGAGAGGCTCGGCCTTGCGTGAGTGTGAGCTACTCGTAGGAAATTGCTGCACTACCGGCTGTGCGCGGCTTCACATCATGCCTTGAATTTCGAACCGGCGAACAGCAAAACGTCGCGTTGTGCTACGTCTGGTTAAGCTGCCGGGATATGTCCTGTCAGATGCTCGATGGCGACATGATCATCGGCAAGCCGGTGCCAATGCTAAAGCTCATGACTTTAGGCTGACAAACCCTCCAACAAGCTTCCACCCGTGTGCTCACAATTGGATCGATTTGCCATTGAAGCGAGATTGAGAGACCGCCCTCAAATCGCAAGCTAGGGTACTTGAGGGAGGTGATCTGCTCGCCGCACGGTGCGCTTTGCTCTAATATTGTTGCTCACCCTTGCCAGCGAGGCCAGCCCGTCGTTTCGCACACTTCAAAGCAAGCGCGCTTTGCAAAATGTCAAGCAGCCACAAGATCATTGAGCACGGCTCTTCGGTTGATCTGTGAGTCGATTGCACACGAGCTCTGCGGCAGTTGTGTAGCCGTGTAGCCCTCTGCACTCCGTGCTGCCCTTCAGAACTTGCGCAGCTTCTTCAAAGCCCTTCAATTGAACATTTCCATGCTATGTGCATGCATCTGAGCGCCCAGTGCGATTTGCATGATTGAAACCATATGCCTCTTCGCTTCATGCAGCCCACCACCACTGGAGCATTGGAACACATGCGGTTTGTGCCTGCTTTGCTTTCCTTCTGCTGCGTGCGGAGAGCGATCGTGACACCAAGCCAGTCGATGCATGTTTGTTTGTCAGAAACGTGGGCCACATGGCAAACTGTACTTTGTTTTGCTCCAAACCAGTTGCACGAAATCCACAAGACGTCCCCATATTTGCTTCTCAGGGCAAGTAGCGACAAGCATCGCTTTGTAGCCTGGGGTTCTCCACATAAAAAGGTGGCCGGCCAACAGCCCCTGTCCACCGAACAGAAAACAACGCAAGATGCTGCGCCGAAAAGAATATGTTCATGCCATCTCGGGCTCTGGCTTGCACAGCAGCAGGCGCTCTATAAAATGGGCTGCATACCGCCGCAGTGGTGGGCTGGGATCAGCGTGCAAGTTCAAATAGAACTCTAGACCTCGGACAGTGAGCCAGGCTGTGCACTGAGCTGATTGTAGGGCTGAGGGACAAACAGCTCGCGACGGTCTCTGGCAAAGTGTCCGCCTGGGTGGCTTGCTCACACGGCCGTTGTGATGTAAAGGAAAAGATGGAGATCCTAGGTCTTGGCCTCTGGCCTTTAGTAAAACGTCTTCAGACTGAAGTAGGAGCTTGACGCGTTGAGGCACATCTCGCTCTGAGATGGCCGACTGGCACGAGTACAGCAGAGCTTCTGAAGGAAACGAACCTTGGATGGGTTCCGGCATGTTCCAGCCTGCAACAGCTCAACCACCTGTCCGTGTGCTAAAACGAATTAAGGCTGTTCCACAGGCTTGTGGGCAGCAGCTCTCCCTTACTATCTACACCACCCATGCAGGGCCAGCACACCCTCGGCGTGGTGCTGACAGCAATTCATCCAGAACTGGTGCTCTTTGACCCTCAGAGACCGCAGATTTCTACAGATTAGAGATCGAGGATCACAGCTGCCAGGGCCTTGCCGTGACGTTCCTGCTGCAGCTGTTGCAGAGGCTGCATGGCATAATGTATGCGCGCTCGAACAAACAGTCGGCCGCATCTACATGGTAAGCAAGACTGTGAAACAAACCTACTTTTACCTACAAGAACAAACACGGCTATGCATAATTCAATTCTGACCGTACAATGCCTATGTTCAGATCGAGGTCTCAGTTCAAATCAAATTAGCATACCTATAGAAGGTCTGCCTTGCGGCATGTCTGTAGTAGAATGAGATACATAACACATCGCCATACTGGAGCCAAAGCTGCTCGGCGACACTGTGGCCTCCGCGGTCTCTTGTGACTAACTGGCGCTGCTGGGATGCCGTGCAAATAATCGAGAGCCCTTTTCACATTGTCGATCAAGCCAACAGCATTGCACCAGCTATGCCAAGGCTTTGGGGCACATCGATGGCGTTGTACTTCGCACGAACGCCACGTAATGTTCCATGATGCGCCACGCAGCAGTGATTTGCATGACCCTGGTGATTCTTGTGCGGGCAAACTGGCAAAACAACTACTGCACCCTAACCGGGGAACTATCACTGCAGCAACAAACGCTCACGAAGCTCGTTAACAGGCATGTGTGCCATCGTTGGAAAGTCTCAGGTGGCAATTCGCATAGCCGCGCAAGACAATATCTCCTGCACTTGATCCACCCGTGAGGTCACCTCAGCAAAGAGAAGTGTGGCTTGGAGAATTTCATTGATTGCTCTTCCTGATTGTAAACACAATCACCAGCCCACAACGAAGATCGACTGAACCGGCTTGTGCATACTTCTGCCCGGCTTCTGCCACTTCAGCTGAGGCTTGTCTCCCCTTCCCTTCGGCGTCTCCCAAACAAGGCAGATGGACTAAATGGCGACCTCCTCCCCGCAGGTTGACAAAAACCCCCCAGCGCCATTCAAAACCCCAAGAAGAATGCTGGAGTTTGGTTCACCGAGCCGTCTCGAGGTGGGCTTCGTTGGAAACAACGGCCGTCTCACCGTGAGATTACGCTCGAGGAAGACAGAATTCAGAAGCAAGGAGGGTGGGAAGACCATGCAAGGAAAGCATGAGCAGGCTTCGGACAATGTAGCATGCCAAAGGTGCTGTGCTTGGTACAACTAGGCTATGAAAAGACGGAACAACAACTTGGGCGTGTGGCTGCCTTTGGGCCTCTGGTTGCTTCTGTGCGCCTACTCGCCAAATGGAGAGCTTTCTACGTTCTGATGCTGATTTTTGCTGATGTCGTGCCCTCTATCTCCCACCATAGAAGCATACACTCACACAGCAGTTCCAGAAACGGCAGAGGGGAAGGATCAGCTTGACAGGGTAGGCCTTCTCAAGCTCATCCTCCGATGGGTCCGTCTCTTCTTCCCAGAGCTCCTGAGAAACTCGACCCGACCCGTGGGCCGGGAAACCGGGACATGAGCCGAGCCGGCTCCTGCCACATCCCGATGTTCAGGGACAAGCAAGAACCGTACTCGAAGAGATTGGGCCAAAGCCTGCACAAATCGCATGCGGCTCATTGCAGATTGATCTTTGCGATCCACCCCGCGCCAGATCTGTGCTGCAAAGAGTGGCGAGATCATGAACCTCAGGCTATCAGTCTCTCGGAACTTCAGCATCGGGGAGTCCGGGTCAGCTATAGTCCGTAGCATCTCCAGATGCTTCCACCCTTCAAATCCTTCAAGCAGTGCAGAAGAGCCACTCTATGAAGCCGATCTGTGAATGTGGACGATTCAACCTCAGCTTGGGGATTTAAATTCCCGTCGTCACAAAGACGGTGAAAGCTGTTTGCTGTCCAAGAAACTTTTGCCTGTCATTCAGGAACTGCACTGGGATGCCCCGGCTGCGTTCCTGGCGCGCATCCGCATTGATCTGAAACTCGAAGCTTAAAGGCTCAAAGGTCTCCAAGCCGCCTGGTCACCTTGAGCGAAAAACTCTTCGAGGCACTTGTCAGCCCAGGCTTGAGTGACATTCCACTCACGTGCAGGGTTCGACCTCAGAACCCGGAGCCGAAAATGCAAAGCAGAAATGATGCTGCAGGGATTTACGACCTATCTGGCTGCTCTAGAAGGTCTTGTTGCGTCCTGAGAGTGACAGAAGGCTGCACCGACTGTGCAGCTGTCACTCCGAAGCACCTCCAAGAGCCTGCATCCAACATCTCCAGCCAACTAAGTTAAGTTTCATAGTACTAGTAGTGCTCAATCGGATGGGCTCCAAAACGGGATGAAGGCACAGAGGGCTGAGTGGACGGGACACCTGGCGAAGGTGCGGGACATGTGGGGCGAGCGGACTCGACGGAAGGGACAAATGGGGTGGGACATATGGAGCGAGCGGACGGGACATATGAGACGAATGGTACGGAATGCGGGGCATCTGGGAATGGCTGTACAAGACCAAACGAATGGTGGGTGTGGCAGTACGAGAAGTGTGGGACGAGCAGTACGGTGAGCAGACCGTTCCAGAAATAACGCAACAGAATGTAACAATTTCAGGGCTTGGTGTAATATTGACTGTTGTGGTAAACTCATGCTAGAAATGCTAAGCTTGTCTTGGTACGGTAGAGTTGGCACGGAAACGTCATCCTAACTCTGGTACTGACAACCCGCCGCATGCGTACCACCAAGCCACCCCACATTCACCACGAATATTCACGAGTGTTCATCACTAGCTCTACTTAGGCTCGCTTTTTCAACCCGTCACGCTGTTATCTTGGAACTCCTTGATGCAGCTTTGCTTGAGGACCGACCTTGATAAAGATTAAGGAAGCGGATCAGTGAGCATTGCACAGGACAGTGTGCGTGTGGTACAGCGTTTGCATCGCTTCACGGAGTCTTGCCCGGGCGACGGTCGTTTTGAAGTGTGACTTGTGCGTCACTGTTCCTTGACGGCGCAACCT